AAGGCACAGGTGAGTCTCCTGAGGTCCACAGGGGCTGCACCGCAGCTGGGAGTCGTGTGTGGGAGACGGGCGCGTCCCGCCCGCAGGGAGCTCTGCCTGGTGTCCGCTGGGGCTCGGGGACAGGCGGGTGGGGTCAGGGCGTGTCGGTGTGGAACAGGGGCTCCTGCAAGGGGGAGGGGGTTTTACAGCTGGCTCAGTCCTGACATCGACACTGCTGCCTGCCGGCCCCACCCTTCGTCCCGCGAGCCCGGCCGGCTGAGTCCCGTCCGCTCCCCTCCTGTCTCGCTGCCCGCGGTTTCCCCGTGGCTCTGCCGTCTCTCCTTCCCGGCTGCTTGCCCCTTCACGCGGTCTCTGGCGACACCCAGGGGCCCGGCTTCTGTCCGTCTCTGGCCCGGGCTGCCACCGGCCCTGGCTGAGCAGCCCTGTGTGTCCCGTGCCCGGCCGATATCCCCTCCCCGTCCCCCTCAGGCCCCTCACCCTCCAGCTGTGACAGTCCCGCCCGCCGTCCACATGACCTCGCTGCCCGTGGCCCTCCCGGCCCGTTCGGGTTCCTTCAGGGAGGGGACAGCTTCTGCTGGGTGTCGCACCGCCCATCCCACCGTCTGGGCCCCGCGTACTTGGTATTTCCCTCCCTGGAAACCGTCACCTCCTGACAGTTTTCCACCACATGCTGCGGCCCCTGGTTTGTCCCCGGCGCCACAATTCCGGCTCCTGCGCTGCGGGGGGCAGACGGGCAGACTGCACCCGCTTCAGTGCGCATCCGTCTTGTCCGCACGCATCGCCCGTTTGGGCTCAGACTTAAGTGCTTGGCCTGCGCACTCTGCCAGCCTGATGCCTCCGCCTGCCTCCGACACGGAGCCCTCCGGGGTCCTCTTCGTAGTAAAGCCCCCGGGGGTCTTTCAGGACCACTAGGACGCAGACACGACTGTGTCGCTGTCCACCCCCCTGTGGCCCCTGCCGTTGCCAGGATGGAGCCCGTGTCCCCAGCCCAGCTCAGGGCCTCTCCCACGTCCGCCCGCAGGGCCCGCTGCAGCAGGGCCTCACCCCGGTTCCGAGCAGTCTTACACGTTCTTACACATCTACCCGCCTTCACCCCTTCCCACTCTCCTTCCCTGGAAAATGTTTCTGTTATGGCAGGACGACATGCTGCTTCTCCGCGGTCACGTGCCGTGACTCACGCGCGTCTGTCTCCTGCCCTCTGTCCCCAGGCCTCAGGACCTAGTAGGGACCTGATGGGTGTCCAATGGGGCAGGAGGTCTTGGGGGGCAGCAGTGAGTGGGCGGGGCTGGCGCAGGCAGCCGGTGGCCACGGCCGGGCGTGCCTGAGGGCGGGGCTGCTTCTCGGGGCCCCGGGCCCTTTGCAGCTCGGCTTTCCCCTTTCCCAGCTGGAGGCCGCCCTGAGGGACAAGTCACAGCAGCTCGAGGGCCTCCAGGAGCTGAAGGTGACTTTGGAAGAGCAGTTAAAGAAGGAGACAGCGGCTAAGGTGACGTGGCGCTGGGAACACAGGGTCGCATGGTGCCCGTGTGGGAGGACGTGGCAGCTTGGGGCCGTGTCCCCCAAGGCCATCTGTGGGCGGAGGGGAGAGGACCCTGTCAGCTCCCTGTGGCAAGCGGTGCTCTGGGCCGTCTGTGGGGCCTGTCCCCCATGTACGCGCAGCCTGAGGCCAGCCCGGCGAGGCCGACTGTGGCCACGGTACTGGAGGGTGCTGTGTCCCGAGAAAGGCTCCGGTGATGGCTGCGAGAGGGCTCCCCAGCCGGGCGGACGGGCTCATGGGCGCCGCCGTGGCAGGTGCCGGGCCGTCCCCGCTGCTGCTGCGGTAGCTCCTCTCAGCCGCTGCTTTCTGCTGACCAAAGGCGGTCCCGGGGCGGTGGCTCTGTCCTTCGGCCGCAGGGGCAGCCGTGCGGGGCCGGTGTGGGGCCGCGTGGCTGCGTGGCCGCGGCTTCCCGGGCCTCACGGCGGACTGCGCTCACAGATGGCCGTGGAGCAGCTCGTGTTTGAGGAAAAGAACAAGGCACAGCGGCTGCAGACAGAGCTGGATGTCAGCGAGCAGGTGCAGAGGGACTTCGTGAAGCTCTCGCAGACCCTGCAGGTGAGGTCCGCGGGGACCCCACTCCCTGGCGGCTCCTTGAGAAAGTGGTCAAGGGCACAGATGTGAAACCCTTTCCCACTGGGCCGCTGCCTGCGCTCGGTTCCTCTCCCAACCCCCAGCACCGCCTTCCTACCGTGGGCACCCCATGCCCGTCCCCGTACCCCTTCCTTCGAGGCCCAGCTCGGCGTGGTCCTCCCCGTGGCGTCTTGTCTACTGCTGCAGCCGGCTGCGGGGCGCCTGTGGCCTTGGGCCCGGCGGACGCCTACAGGGACATTCGGGAGGTTGGAAACAACCCTTGAAGCTCATGGTTCGTTCGTGTGCCCCAAACTCAACCCGTGGTGTCCACGAGGCCAGGGGTCGGGGGTCATCTGTGTTGCGGTCCCAGCAGTCAGCCTGGGCCTGTCGCACGGCAGCCCCCAGAGGGCAAATTGCTCTGAGAGGCCCTGTCGCCTCGAAACCGAGTCCGCTTGGGAGAGTCCGGCCTGAGGCACATGCACGTGTCCCTGTTGCTTCCCAGGTGCAGCTGGAGCGGATCCGGCAGGCGGGTTCCCTGGAGCGGATCCGGGCCATCCTCAACGACACCAAGCTCACCGACATCAACCAGCTCCCCGAGACATGACGCATAAGGCAGACGCCGGCCCGCACCCTGGGATTTTACCTTCTCTTTAGAGCAACGTTAATTATTATTTAACTCTTAACTGAAGAAGTCACGAGGAAGGAGCCTGCAGCCACGCTTGCTTCTGGTGGGAGATGATACTACGGCACGGGAGCAGTGACCGGCGGGGGGACGTGCACGGAAGGACTTCCCGTGGCGACAGACGGACACGCTGGACTCCGGGGGGCTGGGGTCCGCTTGGTGGCGGAGGAAGTGCCGCTTTCTCCAACGTTCTCCTGCCTTCAAAGTAACATCCCGATCGTGTTTGGAATTACGTGTTCTGTCCTAGACCCGGGAGGAGCGCACCGGTCACCATGTTCAGCTCCGGAGGGGTGTCGTGTGCCGGACAAGTATTTTATATTAAAATATGCAGCTGGAGAGCAGGCCGGCGCTGGGGACTGCACTGCTTAGCTCAGCGCTTCTCCCTTTTTACTGTCCTGTCTCGTGTCGGAGGACCTTCAGCGCGGCGGAGACCTGCCTGAGAGCCACGGGACGGTGGCGACACCACCGACGCGGGCGCCAACTTGACTGTGAGACCCGAGGGCGTGCGGGGACGCCCGCACCGGAAGCCGAGGTTCACAGAGAAGCACAAGAGGCCGCGGAAGCACTTCCTGCCCCCGGACGTGCTCTGCAGGCCCACAGGTACCAGGGTTAAGCCGAACGGGCACGTCTGCTCTTCCGAAAACTGTTTTAGTTTAGTTATTGGATCAGTGGAAAAATAATATTAATAAAACGAGCTCTGTCTGACATCTAGTATGAACTTCTGCATCCGCTTATTTCCACCTTGAGTCCGCGAGCCCGTGTACCCTGTTTCCGAGCGTCCCAGACAGATGCCTGGTTTGTGTCCCTCTTCGGATGTCGCTGGGGTGTGGGGACTGCCCGTGGGAGCCCGGCCGGTCGCGTCTGTGCCTCGGTCCCCGCCCCGCTGCAGAGAGCTTGGAGAGCAGGTGCCGGGCTTGTGCTCACCTGCAGGGGGGATGCTGGGGCCCGGTGCGCACACGCGTCCTTGCAGACCTTCATGCTTGTGCCGCACGGCGGGGTGCGTGAAGGAGTCTGGCGGGCGGGAGTGGCTGCGACAGACTCTGGCTTGGCCGGTGTCGACTCACAGGTCCGAGCGGGTGGTCTTGCAGGGTGGGCTGCCCTGAACCCCTGCGCCCCCAGGACAAGAGGAGGACCGCCGCGCTCACTCCTAGGGTCCCGCTGCCGTTCTTAGCTGTGAATCCAACGGTAACTGCTGACTGGGGAAATGGTGCTCTAGACACGTCATGCACAAAACATTAAAATCCGTTTTTAAAAATCTCTGTCAAGTTTCTGTAGAAGGTGCTACTTTAAGGAAAGGAACCTACACCCTCACTCGGTCACGATGACCCGCGGGCGGACTTCTGAGGCGCGCAGCTGGCCACCACCTTCTGGAGCTCATCCACCCACTCCTGGGGATGCTGGCCCCGTGCCGACCGATTCCTCCTTCGGGCACCCACGGCAAGCTGGGGGAGCCCTGCTGAGAACTTCCTAGACGAGCCCCCATGGAGCCCTGGGGTTCTGCTCTGAGACTGCAGCAATGCTACCCGGGGAGGAAGCACTTCCTGCAAGCAGGCCGATGGGACCCGGCCAAGGACGTGGGGTTCAGTCCCCGCAAAGGACAGGTCAGCTGAGCTCCCCGGGCGTCCCTGCGCTCGCGCTCCAACTGGACATTCGTGTCCGCACACAGCTGACTTGTCCTTCCCTCTTGGCTTTCTGTGGTGGTCGCTCAGCCCCGCCCACCTTCCAGAACTCCCGCGGGCAGGTGCTAGAGGCGGACAGACCCATGTCTGGCGAGGCTCCTCTCCCGCTGAGGTCTGACCCACCTGGTGGCCGTCGGGGACCATGCACAGCTCAGTGCCAGGCATCAGTGGTCCCTGTGCCGGCTCTGAGCGGGCTTCGGGGGCGGCCGTCTGACCGCGCTCGACATAGTGTTGGCACGAAACAGCAGCCGCCTCTGTTCCGTCCCAAGGTTCTGTCCGCCACTCTTGGACACCGCGGCTGCTGTCTGGCTGGAGCATGGAGATGCGGGCCGGCGTGGGGAGGCGGGCAGTGCACGGCTGCGGTCCCGGAAATCCCTAGGTCCATGCCGCACGCAACCCTAAGCCTCAGCTTAAACGCAAAATCCATTCCAACTTCTATGTAAAAGCATTTATTTGGTAATTATACACACGGGCGGGAGAGATGCACCAGCAGGGCCGAGCGTGCCATCAAGGCCTCTTCGTGAGTCGGGCGCTAGCCCCCGTGGGAGCCGTGGCCACGTCTGCCCGTGGGGACCCGCCGCGGCTCAGAAGTTCACGTGGCTGCGGATGGCGTTGATCTGCTTCACCATCTCCCGGATGTGCTCGCCCCTGCGGGACCACACGGTCACTCGGGTCCGCGAGTGTGAGCAGCGAGCGCGCCAGTGACACCCGCGCGTAAGGGCTTCAGCGGAGGCGCTCGGGCGTGTGGAGGATCCCGCGCGTTGCCCTGGACCGTTGGGCTCCCGCCACCCCTGCCCGGGACTCACTCCTCCTTCAGCACCGACTGGATGCAGCTGCGCTGGTAGGCGCTGAGGGCCATGGCGGGCTTCTGCGGGCTCAGAGCGCGCGCCATCTTGCGCTGCTGGTAGTCCTTCTTCATGGTCACCTGCGGGGCGGGACGGCCCAGGCTCCGTGTGCTGCGCCACCGCCGCTGGCAGACCCCTCCCCGCCCTGCCCCGCTCCCGCCCTGCGCACCTGCTTGATGGCGCGGCCCAGGTGGCGCAGCTGCTCGGGGATGCGCTGCAGCTCCCGCCGCATGTCGCGCTCGCGGTCGGACAGCACCGGCAGTTGCGCGTGGACGCGGTGCAGCACCGTCTTCATCCTGCGGTGAGGCAGGTGGGCGGCTCAGCCCGCGGCGGGCCCGGCCGACTCCGGCCCAGCATCCGCGCCCCGGCGCACTCTGCGGCCACTGACCTGTTCATGAGGTCCTCCTGCTTCTCCTTGGCCTCCTCGTACTTGTCGGCCAGGCGCTCTGCCATCTCCCGCAGGTTCTTCCTGGCGGCACAGACCAAGGGGCTGCGGGCTGCACCCAGCAGCGGAGACGCGGAGACGCAGCCGCCCGCCCTCCCGCCCGGTGCTTACCTCTCCTCGTGGCAGTGGCTGAGGTCCTCCAGCTGCTTCTGCTTCTGGTCGCACAGCAGCCGGACCCTGTGGGGCCGCACGCTCGTCAGGGGGGCCGCACGGGCGTCGTGGGGGCCGCGCGGGGAGCAGGGGTGCACGGGCCGCTACCTGCGCTGGATCTCCTCCTTGGCCAGGTCCTGCTTCAGCACGTATTGCTCCCGGAACACCTGCGTGGCGCGGCTCAGCAGCTGCAGGCACTCCTCGGGGGGCGGCGCCACAGCCTTGTCCGACCACCTGCCAGCGGCCGCCGTCACCTCTCCGGCTTGCGCCGGGGTGGGGCCCTCGTGCCGTGTGTCCTTCCCGGCTGCCCCGCAACCCCTCTCCCTGCATCTGCGCCACCCCCCGCCCCCCGTGTCTTGCTGACAGACCACGCCCGGTTCCCCGCACACCTGGCTGGCAGCATGCAGGGGATGGGGGGGGTGGCCACGGAGGACGGACAGGCAGGAGGAACACGGGACGGGAATCTGGTGGAGCCCCGATGCCCCGAACCGCGTACTTCAAAAAGGCGGGATTCGCAACGCTCCGTTGCAAAATGCTTCTGATGTGCTTCTCGAAGGAGTCCGGGCTCTCGGTCAGGATGCGGAGAGGAGACTCGGCCGCGGCCTCATCTTCTCGGGTGCAGAGCAGGGGCGGAGACGCCGGGTGGACGGTGCTTCTGCAAGACACAGGGGATTCCGCACTGTCTTCCGCGCGCGCATCGGCGTGAGCCTCCAGGGCATCGACGCGGAGCTGGGAAAACACGGCAAGCCAGAGAGCGAGTCTCCAGGGACAGGACGAGAACACAGCGCTCTGCCCTGCAGGCCACCCTGGGGGAGCCGCCCCCCGCCCCGCTCTCCCCACACCGCCGCGGCATGCGTGCAGGGCAGGAGTCTGAACTGACCGGGGCGGGCACCGTACAACCGTCCGTCACGCAAACAGACTGTGCGTTTCCAGCAGGGTTCCCGGATCCACCCAGCCTGGCCGAGGGCTCCCCCAGCAGGACGGCGGAGCGTGTGGGGACGCGAGGGGACTTACAGCAAGGGCCGGATGAGGCACTCGTAGCTGCTGGTGACGCAGACCATCGTGGGCCCCAGGATGTCAGGCACGATCCAGAACCCTCGGATGGGCGCCGGCTGCCTGGAAAGACAAGGCTACAGGGCTGTCGCACACCCGGGATGCGCCGCCCCTGCAGGAGCATCGAGCTAGGGACCAGAAGGCCATCCTGCTGAGTCCCGGTCACCTCCCGTCCCCATCCTGCACCCTCTCCCGCTCTCCTTCCCTACGAGCCCAGCTCTTGCACCCACAAGCCCCGCCCATGCGCCTTCCGCAACCAACCCTTCCTCCTGGGGCCCACAAGCATGATGGCAGGACAGTGATGCAGGGACCCCGGGACTGAGCTGGGGTCATTCTCTACCCCTTCGTTCCCCGAACGTCCACAGACCAAGTATCCCTCAGTCACAAACTGAGCACAGTGTGTGTGACAGATGCAGTCTGTGCCCTCACGGACTCACTTTCAGTAGCGCACCCTGGAGCACACAAGGAGGGCCTCCGGCAGACGGGCCCACGGGAGCCCGCGCTGAAGCCCTGACATGAGCTCGGGGTCACACGTGAGGACGGGGGCACATGGCGGGTGGCCATCAGGCAGGTGGCTTGACCCAGAGCCCCTCAGGTCAGCGGTCGTGTCCGCGGGTGACCCGCGTGCACCCGGCAACGTGAGTTCAGTGGCCCGTGGGGAGGGGACACGGCCTTACCTGCAGGGCAGCGGCTTGGTGCAGAGGATGTGTTCCACGAAGCACTTCTGCTCGGCAGCCAGCTCCTGCAAGCTGTCCTTGTCCTCCTCGTCTGTGGGGGAGGGGCCCAGGGACCTGGGTCAGCGACCCGCGCACATAGCGCAGGCGCCCGCCAGACGTGGCCAAGTGCCTGTGCCAGAGCCCGGCCTCGTGTGGGCTGTGCTGGCAGAGCGGCTGTGTCCGGGCAGCGGCCTAGACGCAGGCCGGCTCTGCATCGGCTCCCCGAAACGCGACCCCAGCAGCGTGCCACCGCGGCACATCATGCTCTGGGGCGGGGGGAACAAGAGCCATACACCCACCACCAGAGATTTCAGTCTCTTCGCGAGGGCGCCTGGGGGGCTGAGTCGGTGCAGCGGCTGCTTTGGCTCAGGTCACGCTCCCGGGGTCCCGGGGTCACGCCCCACGTGGGGCTCCCTGTTCAGCGGGCGTCTGCTTCCCCTCCCCATCTGCTGCCCCCCGCTTGTGCGTTCTCGTGCTCCCGCGAATAAGAAATCTCAAGTCTGCTCAGTTCCCGAAAGGAAGCCGCACGCACATGAGCAACCACACGAGTCCGGCCGATTGGCCCCCCTCCCTGCCCCCGTGCGGTGGACCATCAGTGTCGTGCACCAGCCTGCTCTGTGCGGTCCCCAAAGGCAGAGCCACGCAATAGGGAGCCGCAGCTGCGTCGGACCTCACCCCTCCCCAGTGCTAGCGGACACCCTGTTGCACGGCTGTATGGCTGCCCACTTGGCGGCAATGGACGCCCGGCTGTTGGGCTACTGCGCCAACGCCGCTGCCAAGAGCTGCTTACTGGCGTGCGTGTGCACCGAGGAGCGAATCGCCGGGTCACACCATGCCGGATAACAGTGTGGGTCACCCGGGGAGGGTCTCCCTTCTGGGACCGACGCTGCCGAACGCGTCTCCCCGCGCTTACTGGCTGTGTGCGCCTCATCAGCCAAACCATGTCACTCAAACCCCCTGTCCTTCCCTGAACTGGGCTCTTATCTGTCTGCGAGTCTCCACGAGCCCCTCGCGTGCTCCAGCTACCACGTCCGCGAGCAGATCTGGGCCGGGCGCTTCCCCCCACCCCGTGGACAGTCCTTTCGCTCTGTCACAGGGTTTTCTTCCACGAGTTTTACAGTTTCACTTCTATCACCCGTCTGAGTCACTCTTGTGTCATGGTGTGAGGAAGGGGTCCAATTCCGTCCTGTCGCGGCTACATGCACACGTGTCCCAGCACCGCGGGTCAGGAAGACTGCTCTCCCCGGGCCAACCTGTGCTGGGCCCTGTGGAAGCCAACAGGGCTGTCCCCCCGTTCCACCAACCTACGCGGGTCTCCTACGTCCGCATGGCGCTGGGATCGCCGCACCTTCTGGGAGAGGCTCTGAAGTTGGCAAGTGTGGGTCCTTAAACTGGATTCTTGTTTTTCAAGACCGTTTTGGCTATTGTAGGGCCCTGGGATTCCAAACGAGTTTTCGGACCAGCTTCTCAATTTCTGCCAATTCAGACCCGGAGGGCACGGGGTCTGCACACCGACTCAGGAGTGTTGCCATTTAAAAGTACTAAGTTTTCTGATCCATGAACATGGGATTTTTTTTAAAGCTTATTTCTTTCAGCAACATTCTGTCATTTTGCGCTTATACTTTCACTTTTGTTAAATTCATTCTCAAGGGTTCTCTTCTGAAGCTAGTACAAATGGGACTGTGTTACTCTCCTTTGGATCATTCACTACTAGTGCGCGGAAACACGACAGGTGACTGCAGCCGCAAGCCCTCGGAAACCATCAGCACAAACGCCCTGTAACGGGTCCTCTAGATTAACCGCACAGAAGACCACGGTGTCAGAAGGGAGAATTGTGGCTCTGCCTTCCTAACGTTGAAGGCTTTATTTCCTTGGCTCCTTTCCTTGCCTGCCCGCTCGACGACGCTGAACACGGGGGCCAGAGCTGCAGCTCTTACGGGAAAGCGTGGGAGGCAGAACCTGTCACCCACCAGCCCGGATGTCTAGCCGAGGACTCCTGAGCCGGAACCAAGTGCCAGACACTCAGCGCACTGAGCCGCCCAGGCGCCCCGACTCCAAACTACTTTTGGAGAGAATCCAGGAAACACACTGTAAAGTACAGAAAACTCACCTGACCCAAGAAATTTGTGAAGTTTATGAATCCAAGTGAGCCCAACACTGTGCACGCCGGCCTCGTGAGTGCAGTGGTATCTTGAGGGACACTTGGGATCTGCAAATGGAAGCACGAATGATACGATGGCAGCCATCAGAGTACGGACAGTCGCCCCAGCAGCCGACAAGCACAGCGGGGGACAGAAGTGACCCTTGGTCTGCAGGACCGTCACACTACTGTGTCAGTGGTTTTGAAACTTGAAGATCTGAGTTCCATTTTCAAATACATTTTAGGTATTTTTAAAATAAACACAAGTCGTATTTTTCAACCAAAGAGTTCACCACACGTATACACGTGCTGCCTTTCTGTCCCCGCTGTGCATTTATTTACCGCTCTTCAAAATAAAATGGAGTGGCCCTGCAGGAACGCCTGTGCCTGCACATGTCCCTCCACTAAGCTACTCTAGCCAGGGCACTGGGCATAGCGCGCGGGGACGACCGCGGAGCCAGCAGCCCCATCACCACGCGTCCAGGCAGGTGTCAGCTCGCGGGTGGTTTTATGTTTAAACTTGAATTCTTTTTTCTTCCTTGAGTAAGTTTACTCCCAACAGGGGGCTTGAACTCATGACCCTGAGATCCAGAGTCACTCGCTCTTCCAGCTGAGCCAGCCAGATGCCCCAAGTATTTTGGGTTTTCTTGGGTTTTTTGTTTTTTGTTTTGGGTTTTCTTGGTTTTTTTTTTTTTTTAAATACAATTCTTGTCTGACAATCTTTTGTATTTACTTTTTTTTTTAAGAAAAGGTTTGTTTTAGGGAGCATGTGTGCATGCCTGCGAGAGTTAGGGATGGGGAGACTCTCAAGCAGACTCCCTACTGAGCATAGAGCCCAACGTGGGGCTCGAAGTCACGACCCTGTGATCCCCACATCAACCGACATCAAGAGTTGGACGTGACTGACTGAGACACCCAGAGAATGCTTCACATTTACACGAGGAAGTACGAGGATCCGCTCGCAGTTTCGATGAAATCTCCTGTACTTCTGAGCCCTAGTACCAGGGAGACCAGCTGACGCTAAAACACGAGTTCCTGAATACTTACAAATAATTATCCCTGCGACTTGGTACTTTCAAAAGGTTAAACAACTAAAACAAGATACAGAATAATTTACACGCTAAAGCTGATTCAAGATGCAAGTGTCGAGGGGCACTGGTTGGCTCAGGGGAGCACGCAACTTGATCTCGGGGTCGTGAGTTCAAGTGACCAGGATCCTGGGATCGAGCCCTGCATTGGGCTCTCTGCTCAGCAGGGAGCCTGCTTCCCTCCCTCTTGCCTCTCTGCCTACTATCTCTGTCAAATAAATAAAATCTTAAAAAAAAAAAAAAGAGTGGGGGGCACTGGCTGGCTCAGTTGATAGAGTGTGTGACCCTCGCATCAGGGGCAGGAGTTCAAGCCCCACATCGGGCATGTAGCCTACTTGATGAAGAAAAAAGAGGCAGCTGTCCTCCATAAGCCCTGAATGAAAACCTCCTTCTGTCTCACAACCCTTCTCACTGTTGACTTCACGGTAAGTAAATGCTGTGAAGCGAATGTTAACGTTTTTGTTCTATTTTATATGTTGGGCTTCTGCACAACTCCCTCTCCAAACAGCATTAGACTGTTACAGAGTTTTAAAAGCCCTGCTCTGTGGCAGTCCCCTGTCTGAACAATAAAATACTAAAAAGCTTCTCTTCAACTGCCCAAACTTGAGACTTTATCTTAGGCTCAAATCATCTCATTAGGTCTATGGTTTCCAACGGCTTTTCAAAAAGTGTCCGCGCTGAAGTCAACAGCAAAACCTCAGTGCTGGGAAGGAACCAGAATCTGTCATGGAAGAGGCAACATCCGTCACTGAGCGGGAATCTGCCAACACCCCACTATTCGGCAGCCACTCACTCAGTCATTAAAAATATGGGTACATTTCAGTGACCGTGACGTGCTGAGTATGAACACGAATGAGTCAAAAACTTCCAAGTCATACAACACATGACATATCAGCTCTCAGAAAAACGAAGACAAGATCGCCTCTAAGGTCTCCCAGACACCTGTTCTCTTCGTAAGGAACCAAGAAGCGTGTGTCCCTTACCTCACCGGGTCCCCGTGTCCTCGTCTCTAAATTCTGATCCCTAGTCAGATGTGCTCAGTGGGCTCCCCAGGCTGCTCTACTGCACGGGAGCCCCAAGCCCTGAAGGCTTGCTGTCCGCTCTGCAGAGCTGGACCCGAGCCGGCAGCTCCAGGGCCGGCGAACAGCAGTTCCTGTCCCCGCCCGGGCCCAGGAAGCCTGGAGGAGATTCCGGGAAGCGGTGGCAGGACAGCGGGATCGCAGGGACCGGTGTCCACGGGCCTCCCAGGTCATGCAGGGTCACCCAGACCGTTTCAGATGAGAAAATGGAGCTGGAGGGGCTGATGGGAGGCCAGCTCGTGTCAGAGCTGTCCCCAAACCCAGCAGGAGCCCGGCTCCTTCCGCTCAGCCCTTGGCACCCCAATGGCCCCGGCTTCCAGGGGTTCAGCAGTCTCGGCAGAAGCTCCCCAGACGGGCACAGAGAAGCCAGAAAGATCTGGTACCAGCCCAGGTCAGTTCACAGAGAAAAAGGTAAAAGGACCGCGTTCACCCGGTCTGGGAGCAACGACATACTGCGATGTGTCTAGAAACGAAACAGGTTTTAAAGCCGAGCGACTCAGTGGCCTGTCGTGACCTGATTTTTAACATTTACTAAGGTCTGCGTAGATTTCAGATTTGAATCATGACATAAGCTTTCAACTAGACCAGGAAAATCCCCTGCTGGGTCTGGACGGCTCCAGACGGCAGACCGGCTGAGAACCTGGGAAGCCCGCCCGGCCTCTCTTGGCCCTGGAGGGCGCTCGGGGCTCGATGGGCCTCCACATGCCCGGGAGCGACCCGGCCCCGGCCCCGTACACGCAGGACCCCGTTACCTCTGTGCAGTCTGATGGGACAAGAAAAGTCAGAATCGAAGGGGTCATCGTCCCCGGCGGCGAGCGTCAGGGCAAGCTCCAGCTCCACGCACTCGAACACGTACAGAGACGGGACGAGGTCGGCCCTGGAGTCCCAGGACTTCTCTGACTGCGGAAGCAGCAGCGCCATCTAAGATGATCGAGTCTGTCCTGCCCGACAGCACCCCCGCCCTCACCTCCTGACCAGAGGAGACCAGAGGATAGAACGGCCTCTCATTTCCTGGAGATGCAAATCAGGTTCCGAAGAGCCCACTTGGGGGCTACCCGGATCCCTGCGTCTGTCACTGGAGGCCACACCTCGGGACAGGCTGGCCAGGGAAGCCGCGTCCCCGTGCAGAGATGCAGAGCCCGCCTGCTCCCGGCCTTTGCCCCGCCCAGGACGCCTCCCCCTGCAACTCCCCACCCCAACACCCCCGCGCCCGACTCACTGTCTGGTCGTCCTCCTCCTCCCCCTCCAGCACGACGCAGTGGTACAGCACTCCAGACTCGGTGGCGATCACCAGGATGTTGGGGACGCAGGGCAGGCAGAGGATGGCGCATGCGTCGTAGCCGTAGTTATCTTCCGCTGCGGGGTGCATGGGCAGTGGGCCCAGCAGCTTCCCCACACCCCCGGCGCTGTGGGAACAGGGACACACGCTGGTGGGCGTCTGCAGAAGGAACCATGCCACTCCCAGCCCGGCTTGGATCAAGGTCCTGCGGCCCGCACACCCCGCCCCGCCTGTCCCCGAGCTTGGCACCTGGCTCTCCTGGCTCGGCTCTCCCCCCGGTGCTTCTCAACCAGAGACGTCTGCACCCAAGGGACAGGAACAGGAGGGAAAGGAACAATGTCTGAAGACATTCCTGATTGTCACGGGGTGGGGGGTGCTTACTGGTGCGTGGGGGGACAGAGGGTGCTGGTCAGCTCAAACGTCCCTACTGTGGAGACTGAGAAACCAGGCCCCAATCTAGGCCACTTTCCCTTATCGCGCCACTGATGGTCTACTAACCGACCGCTGCCATCCGCCCCAGGGAGACCCTCGCTGCCAAACCCTCAGCCGCATCCTGTGGCCACTCAGCCCCCCGCACCTCAACACCTGTGCTTGGTCCCCTCCCCACCTCTGGCCTTCTCCAACACAGTCCCCTGAGGGCCAGCGCTCCCCGGATTCTGTCGCAAGCCCCGCCCCCTCCCGCTGCACAATGCACAAGAGCACGCTGGGCTACACCCGCTTCTAACTACGGCCTGGATTCTGCACTTTCCCGGGGAAAGCAGCGGCTCTCCGGGGCTTCAGACACAGTGTTCCTGTGGAGACGCCATCACTGAGTGCTGGGGGTCACCCCGAAGGACAGAAGTTCAGCTGGGGAAGCAGATGTGTAGTGAGAACTACCACACATGGGCGGAGTGTGACAACATGGGGCCTCACAGCACGAAAGGAACACGGGGACGGACGGTGAAGGAAGGCAGCGCCTGCGTGGCTCGGGGCGGGGGGTTGAGCGTCCGACTCTGCATTTGGCACAGGTCATGATCTCAGGCTCGTGAGATCGAGCCCCGCACGGGCTCCGCGCTCAGTCTCCCCTTCCCACTGCCCCTGCCGCGTGTGCTCTCTTCCTCTCTACGAGAAACATTTTCCCCTAAGACTTTATCCATGTATTTGAGAGCAGGGGGAGCAGCAGCAGAGGCAGAAGGAGAGGCAGGCTTCTCAGTGAGCAGGGAGCCCGATGCGGGACTTGATCCCAGGACCCCAAATCTTAAAAACAGAAAACCACCCCCAGTGAGATGAGAAAGGGGTCAGGAATGAATGAGATCAATGGCGAAGCGGGTATTCCGGGAGGAGGCTGTGAACGCCGCAAGCAGCAGCTCTGGAAAGTTCTGAAAGCACGGATGTCAAGTGCCCACAGGAAGGAGATTCTGCGTAGCGGGGACAGGAGCGCCCCAGGAGGGCGGCCCAGGACCAGCGGACACGGGCGGTCTCCGGGGCGATGCTCAAGGCTCAGAGCCACGCATCTGCAGGAGGAATGTGACAGTCGCGAGGGCAGGACATGGAGGGAGAACCGGGACTCGAGGCCGCTGGTGGGGAGAGGCTCTGCGCAGAAGACGCGGAGGGTCCAGAGCCAGAACAAGGGGATGGAGAGAAGGGGGTTTGCACTCCAGGAATTTTCAGGGTAAAATCAAGAGAATTTGGGACTGGCCTAGACTAGATGTAAGAGCACGCAGTAGGCGTCCCGCTGGGTGGCAACAGGCTAATGGCGTCAGCACAGAAGCCCCCAGACGGGGTCCTGTGTGGAAGCTGGAGCACATTTGGGTCACGGAGAACCCGAGGGGAGCGAGTCCTCACAGACCTGCGCCTGGCGAGCTCTCGGCCTTTGTCACCCTTGTGGCTCTGCTCCCCCTCCTTACGCTCTGCGGTCACTTCTGCGGCGTCTGCCCGCGGATGCCCCCAGTCCAAACTCCCGTGTCAGTAGCGACCCGGTGTCGCAGGCCGCCCAGGCCCCCGCCCCCCTGCAGCGGCACCCATGACGCCCCACCCGGGTCTGCCGCGGTTACTACCTGTTGAGCCCCTCAGGACGAAGTGCAACGTTCGGCCTCTCGCCAGAGGCCTTTCTGGTTACAAACCAGCCCCCAAATATCTTCCCTTGACTGGCCCATCCTGACATGGGAGACTCGGGTCTTAAGCTCCAGAGTCTGCCTCCTCTCCCAGGCCTGCGTTTCCGGCTGTCCAAGGAGCGCTCCCACGTTCCCGTCCCACATGCGGCCCGACGAGCCCTCGGTACCAGCGCCGCCCACCGCCCCATTAACTGCCCCTATGGACCACAGCACTCGCGTGAGCGGGTCGCCCCTCGCCCGGCCAACAGCCAGGTCTCCCGGACCCTCCCTCTGTGCTGTCTACCATGGGCACCTCTCCCCGCTTCCAAACGGCGCAGTCCGGGTCCTGCAGGCGGTCGGCACCGTGTACAACTGCACCTTCGAACGTCTCTCTGCCCCCGCGTGTCCCTTACCAACCACCTTACCCTTCTGTTAAGAAGCCGTCACTGGCTTCCCACAGCCCTACTCCTATACAGGAAAAACCCATGTTGCTTTCCTCTTCTTAAGATTTTTTTTTTTTTAAAGATTTATCTGACAGACAGAGATCACAAGTAGGCAGAGAGGCAGGCAGAGAGAGGGAGGAAGCAGGCTCCCTGCTGAGCAGAGAGCCCGATGTGGGGCTCGATCCCAGGACCCTGGGCTCATGTCCCGAGCCAAAAGCAGATGCTTAACTTAAGACTGAGCGGCCCAGGCGCCCCGACCCCACGTTCCTTAACCAGGTGTCTAACTCCACCAGATTCTCCATGGCCAGATACTTCCAGCTCTGTGACCTGATGCTGCGTCCCTGGAACCCCTGCTCCTGTCACAAATGTCCCATCGCTGGGCCGTGACTGACACGTGCACGTACTTTCATACTCCCTGGGGCGCGCCTCGCGGGCCCTCGGGAAATCCCGCACTAGACACACGGCCTCTCCACGAAAACGTCCCTCCCTCCTGGGTGCGACCCATCTCTCCCTCCCGAGTCTCGCTGTCTCTGTGCCACTAACGCTGTCTGGGTACAACCGGAATGTTCAACACCAGACTGCCGTGTCTGCCCTTCCCGTCGGCGCCTCGCTCGCCTGCGTCACCTTGTTCACAGTACATCTGTGGCTGACGGCGAGGCAGTCAGAGGCCAAACGCTTGGAACCAGTCTTTCACGGAAACCAGGCCCTACAGGGCTGCCACGCTCCCGCAGCCTGAACACCGCGGCGCCCAGATCCCGCGGTGGCAGATGTGCTCCGGGCAGCGGCGCCCCCACTCACCTGTGCACCAGGCTGACGTACGTGAGAAAGGTCTCCCCATTCTCACACAGGATGTACAGCGGGTGCGCCACGACCTCGCCCTTGCCCTTCTGTGCAAACACGCTCCTCGGGACGGCGCACAGCGGCCCGAAGTCAAATGCGACGGCTGTCTCCCCCAGGGACGCTGAATACGCCCGCCTGCAGGGAAAGGTAAAGACCAGCCCGTTAGGAACGAAACAGCAGCGGCAGGGAGCGGGGATGGAATTTGCGTGCAGTGAAGAAGGGAAAACAAACCCCACCCAGATGACAGAAGCAGCGGCCCACAGCGAGGCTCCAGCTCCAGCAGCGTAACCCCGCAGACGTGCACGGACCAGAGACAAGAAAGCCGGAAAAGCCGCTGAGAATGGCACAGGTTCCTGCCACACATCTGGGAATCTGACAGCCCCGCCCGCTCGTGACAGTGACGCCCGAGACCCAAGAAAGGAGCACACGACGCAGTGTCAGCGAAGGATGTCAGGAAGGAAGTGACGGGGAGGGACCCCGACAGGCTGCGATCTGAGCGCCGTGCCAGAGGACAGGCGGGAGCACGGGCAAGGGCGGGGATGCAGAGAACGAGGGGTGAGGTGGCCGAGGTGGCTGGGCCCGGAGCCGGGGCACAGGGCGGGAGAGGGGCGGCGGGGGGCAGGCAGGGGACGCCCGCCGGGAATCAGCGGGGTGGGGCAGCAGGGACGCACAGCCCCCTGCTTTATACAAGTGTCCCCCCGGCTGCTGTGTGAGGAGACACAATGGGAGACCACGAGACATTTCATTTTCTCTTTAATATTTTCCCATAGGCGTTCCTGATTTCCTAAAGAAAACACATACGACCTTTGCAATTACGGCAGACAAACGATAAACATGCTGTCTTTGGGGGCGCCTGGGGGGCTCAGTCATTAAGCGTCTGCCTGTGGCTCGGGTCATGACCCCGGGCTCCTGCTCAGTGGGGAGTCTGCTTCTCCCTCTCCCTCTGCTGCTTCCCCCACCTGTGCTCTGTGTCAAATAAATAAAATCTTAAAAAAAAAAGACACCCTGTCTCTGTCTTTTGAAGGCGGCTGTAACTGCTCATCCAGGAAGACCACAGCCCCACACAAGGCTCCGAACACGGGTGTTTTCTCACCGCCGAGAGCGTGCTGGTCAGCGACGGAGAACCTTGAGTGTCTGTTAAAAGCACATCTGTGATCCCAATAAACTGAAAAACCATTTCCGGACACGAAGAACAACTTACCCTTTATTGAGTATCAGGCTTTCCTCCTCCGCCTCTGAAAGCACGATGACACTGGCGGGGGTCTGAGGCTCGCGCAGAGAGTAGACCCTAGGAGAGGGGGGAGAGAGCTGCACTCAGAGCTCTGCCATCCCAAGTCCGCCCTCGGCCCGGCCGGTCGCTGCTTCGGTGCCATCCTGCCAGGCTCACGACCGTGTGTCCGCCAGAGCGGCGCGCGGCACCTGCTCTCCGACGACGGCACCTCCAGAAACTCTCCCCGTCGTCACGAAGTCCCTCCCGGCGTCCTGCAGGCCATCCCGGCCCCGCTCTCCCATCCTGAGGCCCTGGGCGCAACGCCCCATCCAGGCACCGCCCGACCACCCTGAGCGGCCCAGCTCCCCCGCGCCACCCGCCTCTGCCCAGCGCACACGAGCCTTGTCGGAGGAGCCGCATGTGCGGCAGCCCTGGGCCGCGGGGAGGGACGCTGCGCCCCAGTCTACGTGCACTGCCCTTACACAAAAAAGCAACATCACATCACCCCTACTTTCCCAAAGGGAAGTATAAAACGGGAAAAATTCTTTCTTGCCAACATCATTTGAATTTAAAATAATGTAAACTTTCACAGCGTGTGGCTACAGTGCAGAGAACTATCAAAAGGCCAGTATCGTGGTTAGCGACCCGATGTCACCTACAAACCCTCACCGAGTTAATCACTCACCTTGACAACCCTGAGAAAACCCGAACTTCGTTTGTTCCACTACCAGTAAAATGCCTTAACAGGGTTTCTGATGAAAACGTGACCCAACAGCACACACACCGCGGTCTCCCTGCGCGTAAGCAGCACTGACTTCAAATCAAATGTGCCTGCCGGACGGGATGCGCGGCGGGGTGGAGGCCCGGGGTGGATGGGGAGAGCTTGGTGCCCGGAAACTGTCAACAAGGTCCAAAGCTTAGGATACACAGTAACTACCCGCATGTGTTTTTTTGTTTCTTTTGAGAGGAGGAGGAAGGGACTGAGAGACAAAGAGAGAGAACCTCAAGCCGACTGCGCACTGACCACAGAGCCCGACGCGGGGCTCAATCTCAGGACCCTGAGATCATGACCTGAGCTGAAATCCAGAGTCAGACGCTCAACCAACAGAGCCCCCCCAGACTCCCCATGTTTAAAAAAGAACCTTCAACAGCTGAGACCAGATACACCTCCTCTCAAGCTTAACTTCAGGAAGGTCTGGGCCAGTGCCCTCTCCTGCCGCCCGGTTTCCCAGGGGAGGGGCGCCTGGGGGCTCAGTCGTTGCAGTGTCTGCCTTCGATTCAGGTCATGATCCCGGGATCCTAGGATCGAGTCCTGCATCAGGCTCCCTGCTCAGCGGGGAGTCAGCTTCTCCCTCTCCCTCTGCCCCTCCCCGGGCTTGTGCTCTCCCTCACTGACAAATAAATAAAATCTTTAAAGACAGACATGCAGAAAGACCAAGAGAGGAGCATCAGGAGTCCTTCCTCGGACACTACAACCTCTGCAGGAGGAGAGTGTCCAGCTCCAAATCCAGATGGGAGGGGAGACATTCCACCAGATTCCAGGGGGCCTGTGATGTGGGGAGACCGGCTCTCATGTCCTCCCGGAATCCAGATGTGCTACAGGAAGCTGCAGGCCCCCAGGTAAAGAATCCCTGAGTGAACCGGACAGGTTACAGCCTGGGGTTGGGGGCTTGTGAATGCTACACAATATCCACCACTCACACATCACACATCAAGGGGTGGGCTGGAGCAGTGTGAGAAAGGACTGTGGGACCGATGCCCAGGTCCCTGGGGCCGTTGGAGGGCAGAGCAGTCACCCTCCAGGACAGCAGGGTGGTCACCACGATGCCACAGGAAAGACTGCAATGGCGGCACGAGTGCAAGGACCCTCACTCCCCAGAGAGGCCCCGACCACGGACAGAGCCAGTGGGAGACAGTGCTCCTCAGTGACGAGCAGCCCCTGAAGTGACACATAACTTTTGTACAGAGGAGCCGTGTCAATGGAGGCCACCAGTAGCAGATGGGACCAGACGACCCAGAAATCAGGGTCAGGCCCACCAACTGCCAGCCGGCCAGCCTCAGCTCCCTTCACTCCTGAGGAAGCAGGAGGCAGCCCCCTCCCCGCACATCACCCCGCCTCCAAGTGCGGGGACAGAAACAAGAGCCAGACCAGGTCACGCCCTCTGCACAAGTGTCCCCTCCCCTGGGGTCTGGCCTGTGCGACGGGCCAGGACCCAGAGCTGGTATGGACTGGACATCAGAGCTCCGAACTGGACAAACCGAGTTGAGCAGCTGAAAGTAACCAGACAGCGATGAGATCTGTGTAAGAGGCCCGTAAGGGGTCAACAGCCAGCAGAAAAGGAAGAGGCGCAGGGCACGGTTAAAAGTGGTGAGGAGAGAAGACGAAGCTGTCCGTAGCTCAGCGGAGTCCCGACACAGCTTTTACATAAGGCAGATCCAGAAAGCTAACTACGTAAATACCACAGAAGTCTCTGTAGGATTAGGGCCTTTAATCACAGAGTTCAAAACCCGTCAGATCAAACCAGCTCGTTTTACAGAGCTGGAAACTGAGGCTCCTCTCAAGTTTAAGATCTCCAAGACAGAGTGGCGTGTGAGGAAGAGAATTCAGATCTCTCAACTCCCAGTTACACTCTCTTCTCCCCATGGGGCATCGCCTCCAGCAGAGCGCCAGGAGAGGGGTTAGGGTTAGGCTCCTGGGCAGGTTAGTGAAGGAGTGACAAGGCGGGAGGCCCGGCTGGGCAGACGAGCAGTAAGGCCTCGAAGTTAGCGCAGTCGGACAGCCCGCTGGGCCTGAGTGCCAAGAGCAGCCTGAGACAGGCGCTGCGACACCCGGTGACCCGCCTGGGGGCCCACTGGCTGTCCCCGCGCGAAGCTACAGAGACAGAAAGACACCGCACCTTATCACATTGTCTGACGTCAAGAGCACGATGTGGGGGTCCAGCAGCTCACTGGGGTACCAGGCGGCGTGCTTCAGCGTCAGAGACGGAGAGCTGGTGAGAAACCGCTCAGCGATGGGCGTGGTACTGAAACGAAGACGGTAGTTTGTCCAAAACTTCCTGCAGAATGTGGACCAAAGACCTACGGGAAAACCTATCTTAATGCTCTGCTCTCATTCCCTTCGCCATCTTTCCTCCTCCCACATCTTGCCGAGAAGAGCACTCGAAGCCCCCATTCAGTCAGCATGTGTGAGGACCCACACAGAACCACCTTCTGAATCAGAGCTTCACACTGGCCCTCACGAGGGCCTCCACATACACTAACTGCTACGGCCGCCTTACTGGCCTGGGAAGAGAACCAAACACGATGCTCCAACTGCGGAAACGGGGCAACGGATTTTTTCTTTTTTTTTTTTTTTCGGAAACAGATTTTAGAAACGGGACATTGCAGAACTAAAGGCGGTTTCTATCTTATGCTCGTCAACACATCTTTCAGGCTCTGGCTTTTCCAGATTGTAGAAAAGATACAGAAATTAAACTTGGTTAAATTAAATGGACTTATACGTGGTAACTGCTTTTCAAAAGTTACCTTATTTCTACGCACACGAACGAGCTGAACTCCGGTGAGCCGGCTGTGAGCCATCAGGCAGGGCAGGCTCGAGGGCAGGCGAGGATCACATCAGCAGGAAGCCTGGGTGCGGCCCAGCTGGCGGCCTGTGCCGTTGGATCCACGGCACAGACAATGTAGCTTGCGAACCAAGGGGCCTGAGCCACCGCCCGCGTGTGTTCCAAACTGACAAACGATAAACGGAAATACAACTTACCTGCAGTTCACTGTTGATTTTCCGCCTTCAAATTCAGAGTTCTTCCCCCATCTCTTAGGCAGCTCTAACACTGTAAGTCCTTTGGTTCCCACAAGCGCTATGTGATGCTGCGTTGGACTTAACAGGACTTGGTAGACTTCAAACAGGGGCGGATTTATGCAGAGCAATCTCTGGAAAACAAAGCAAACTGGTCACAGTTCACGTCGCAGTAAGTATGCGGTAAGTCCTAGAAAGCACGACTGTCCCAGTGTAGTTTGGTCAGGCACCCGAGGCAGGCGCTGCTTTCCTCGCCGGGAGCTGCAGGGCAGTGACGCCTTCTGGGTAAGCGTTCACACCTGGGCTAGGAACTCACTGGAGATTTTTAACCACTGAGATCCGGACGTAACATAAACCACACCAGACTTCCCTCCCTTGAAAAACAAACACTACACATCGATTGCCTTTTTATGGCCGAACTCCAGCCTGCCCCGGACAGTCTCTATGCCAGCTCAGGTCAGCCTGTGTCCGCGAAGCCACCAGGCTCTATCAGCCTCTGCGTCTCTCGACAGCTCTTCCTTCTTCTGCGGCGGCTATCACGGTCCGGGAGACCTCCTGACACATTACCCCGATCTTCCAGCCAGGGGTACGTGCGTCTCCTCTGCGCTCTGGATGACTGTCGCGGTCCTTGTCAGGCTGCACTGCGGTCACCCTGACCATCCTGCACAGGTAACCGAATTCCTGACACTGTGTCCTTCCTTGCATACCCTCGGCACAATGTATGGCATAAAGTTGGCTCCAGGTGTTTCAGCGCAGCAAGAAATGAACTCAGAACGTTCATAATTGGCGGCTGCTGTTCCGTATCAGGAACGGGACGGGGACAGAACGGCTTTAAGAGCTCGCGCAGCCGGACCCACACGGCAGAATCACAGAGCCACGCATTTTCGGGGGTTCTCAAAGCTGCTTGTCCCAGTGTCACCAGCCCTCACAACAACGCACTTCCTCAGAGCGGCATGTCCTGCTGCTTCTCTCCTGACCACCCACACTCCCATCTTCTGTCCTTTCTACTTCCACTCATAAACCGGGAGACGCCAACGTATCACTCACCCTCCCGTAAGGAGACACCCTCAGCTAGGATCTTTCCACACACGACCGCTCTACACACAACACACAAGGAGGGCTCTACCGCCTGTCTCCCTGCTGCGGCTGAGCGGCCCTTCGCCGAGTCCAGCCAAGGGCGTGTGTCTCCCGTGGGTGGTCCTCGCTGACCCCACCGTCTTCTTGTCTGATCGGGTCCATCTCAAACTGAACAGAGGCCACTCCGAACACCTGAGATCACGTGTGACGATTACAAACTTAGGGGATTTTGTTTTATTCTGTTTCTGAAGTCACTATTCTCCTTTCGTCAACGTTTACATCTGCAACTCACGGTGAGCCGCTTTCCTGCCGGTGAGATTCTGGCAGGCTGAGAGCCACTCAGCCCTCAGTTTCCTGAGCGCCACCCCGCTCCGGGCAGCCTGCGAAGGACGGGGATGCAAAAAGCAAGACCAACAGGCACGACCCCGCCTGGGTGGCTGCGGAGCAGAAAAGAGGGACAGCGAGCACCATGGACATAATCAGGGCCGCTCTACGTGCTGCTGAACAGGGCCGCCGAGTGCCTCCGATCACTCTGGCGAACAGAAGTTTTACAGGAACAGACGGTCAACTTGGGACCGGTCTTCAGAACCGCAGAAACACCCCCGGCACCTTGATAAAACCCATGAATTTCTCCCCCGCAGGCACCGGGCAGGGGCCCACGACAGAAGGCACGAGTAAGACGGGCGACACGTCTGCTATGTTTCCCAGTCTTTAGAAGACCCGCACCCGTGTACCACGGACAAACGTTCCCTCAGGCCAGCGCTGGGCCGCAGGAAGCCTGGCGCGCCGCTGCCCGCGTGCACGTGCCCGCGTTCACCCAGACCCCGCGCAGCTCCCGCCCCACCCTGCGGCGGCTCATCCTCTAGCGGGGGGAGGAAGCAGGACCGGGGACCCCCTCCTCCACGTCGGCACGAAACCGCGAGCGGCCGCTTCCAGACCGACCCCGACTCGGCGCTCACAGCGACCGCGGCAGGAGGTCGGGTCTGTCCCCGCGACCTGGCGGGTGTCGCCCCACGAAAGCGGAGTCTCAGACCCAGCCCGCCGCGCTCGCCTGCCGGGTTTCCCCTCGGAGCACCCGCACGCAGCTCCCCGGCCTCTGTCCCTGGCCCGGGCCCCCGAGAGCACGCGGGCGTCCGCAAGCCTCCGCCGGGGAACGGAGCCCGGCCACGACAGGCTACGAAGCTGCCGCGCCGAAGCGGAAGGGGAGACGCGAGGAGAGCCGGCGGCGCCGCGCCCCCGCCCAGCACGCGCGGCCGGGCCCACCTGGTACTGGGACAGGGACGGCTCCTCGCCCGCGCCGCCGCCCCGCAGGCGCACCACCAGGAACGAGCCGCCGTCGCCGTCCCACATGAAGAGCTCTCCGCCCAGCCCCACGACCAGGCTCCTCGTCAGCGGCGGCGCGGACGGCGACGGGCACGCCGGCTTCTCAGCCTCGCCGGGGCTCTGGCTCTTCAGCCCCTCGCGGAGCCGCAGGAACACGACGTGGTTGGGCAGCCAGGACTGCCACGGCTCCGCGTCGCCCGCGGGACCCTCAGCCGCTGCCATCTTAATCCGACTGCGTGCGTCGCCCCCGTGATGCGGCGCGCCGCTGAGCGCAGCCAATCCGCGGCCCGCCGGCGCGCTCCGGCCAATCAGCGAGCGGGCAGCCGGGGCACGCGGGCCTCGGGGGCGGGGCGAAGGGGGAGGGCCGGCCGGCAGCTCTCCGGCCAATCACCGGGCTGGCAGCCCGGGCAAGTGGCCTCGGGGGCGGGGCGAAGGGGGGCCGGCCGTCAGGCGGGACCATCGCTGAGGGAAGGCCAGCCCCCGGGGACAGCCTGAGAGCGGCGTCTGACCGCTGCGTGGACATCTCCGCCTGGCTAAGCCTGGACATCCGAAGCCTTCCCTCAAGACCCACTTCCCTCACTCCAGGTGGGGTTGACCTCACAGATGCCGCTGCAGCCCCGCCTCCTCGGGGTCGCCGGACGGGTCGGCACCTCCCAGAAGGCCTCGCGGGCGGGCGCGCGGAGCGCCCGGAAACTACAGCTCCCAGGATTCAGCGCGCCGGTGGGGGCGGGGCTTCCCGGCTGCGGCGCCCGCGGACCGGAGATGGCGGAAGCGCCGGGCTCGGGGCGCCGCTCGCGGTACAAAGCGGTGGGCTCGCCACGGTGGAAGGAGGCTTTCCGGCAGGTGCGCGCGGGCTTGGGAGGCCTCGGCGGGGCCGCCGTCCCTCCCCTCGTCGCCCCCCGTGCGAGGCAGGTGCGGGGCGCCGGGCGGCGGCGGCCCCGGGGCGGTACTGGACGGAGCGGGCCGGGCGCTGCGGGAGTTCCCGGGCCTGCGTGCGTGGGGGGTGGGAGCCGGCCCGGCCGCCGCGCGCCGCGAGGCCCCCGCGCGCCCCACCCTGCTGGCGTCGGGGGCCGGGGGGACCCGCTGTCCTCCCGCCGGCGCAGCCGTCTGCTGCGGACACGCCTGCCCGGCCGGTGCTGCGGAGTCTCGGCGGCCCCGCGCCGCCCCGGACCGTTCCGGCGGCAGCGCGTTCCCGCGAGCCCGCCTTCCGGGAGCCGCCGCCGAAGCCGGGGCCCTGCGTCGAGGAGCGTGTAGCGGGTCCCGGGGCTCTGCCGCGCGGCTGGAGGGTCTCGGGCGCTGCCACATGCCCGCGAGGGATGGTCGCCCCCGGCTGACTTCGTGCAGGAAGTCCCGCCGGAGCGCAGCGGAGGCCGAGCCGTTACTACCCGACCACGAAGGACCCTGCCGCGGAGGGTCCCACCCGGGGGGCGCGGGGAGCGACTCCTCTTGGTTAGGCTTAGGTCACGATCTCAGGGTGCTGGGATCCGGTCCGCATCGGGCTCATGCTCGGCTCGGCCTCTGCTCGAGGGTCTTCCTCAGCCTCTCCCTCTGCTCCTCGCCCAGCTCACACTCTCTTTCACGCGCTTGCTGTAAAATAAAGTAAAATCCAAGTGTGCTGAACCGAGTATATAAACCGTGATGACTTCTCTTGTCTGCGAATAAGGACTGCGCAAAAATAATGCAAAAATAGTAATTAGGATTATGGTTGGAATTTTGTGTTTATAAGTTTCAGTTGATGTAACAGTTTAAGAAAAAAAAACTTTTTTAGAGTTTCAGAGAGAGTGCATTTGTCTGGAGGGGAGGAAGGGCAGAAGGAGAGGGAGAGACAGAGGCCCCACTGAGCAGGGAGCCCAGTGTAGGACTCGATCCCAGAACCCCAGGATCATGACCTGAACTAAAGGCAGACGTTTAACTGACTGAACCACCCAGACACCCCTAAGTTTGTTTGTTTTGTTTTGTTTTGTTTTTACCGGCTCCGCTCCCTGTTTCTCCTTCCAAGGGATGCCTGGAGAGAATGAGAAACAGCCGGGACAGGCTCCTGAACAGATACCGCCAGGCTGGAGGCAACATGCCAAGGAGAGCTCAGAACCCTCTTCTGGTGCAGGAGGTGATGGAAGAAGAGTGGAGTGCTCTGCGGGCCAGGGACAGCTGTCCAGAGGCCTTGACCCAGGTCAGAATGGGACATGTGCTTCCAGGGAGGGTGCTACAGCACCGAGAGGGCCTGCCCCGTGTCCCCAGGTCCTCTGGTCCCAGTCACCCTCCACCCTCCAGCCCCCAGTCAGGATTCCAGCTGCTTGGAATCTAGGCTCTTCTGTCTTTTAGGTTAGACTTTTCTAGATCCGTGGTTCCTAAACACCAACATTCTACCAACATTCTGTGTCATTGCATCTTACAAAACTAAAAACAAAGACGTCTGGGCTCCCCCGCTGGAAATTCTGACTTAGCAGACCTGCGCTAGCAATCTCTGTGCAAGAAGGCGTCCAGGAGCTTTCTGACTCTCGCCTCGGACAGGGTCGCGGGCTGGGTGTGGATCGGAAACCGTTTACTGTGTGCGAGGAGGAGCCCTGGCTTGGACATCCCTGGTTCTCGAATTCCAACCCTGGTTTGGCGCTGGGTCCTTACCTGTCCTTTGCCTCTGAGCTCTGCTTTCGTGGAGTTTCAGCCCTACCCGATGCAGAAGAGAGTGCGGTCCACACTGTGAGGTCGATGTGAGAAAACCTCGGCCAGCTGTCCCAGGAGCATCAGGGCCGTCTGTAGTCATGATGCGTTATCGGGAACCTACTGTGTGTCCTGGCACAGGCCAGACTTCTGGCTACACAGTCCTGCTTTGTGCTCACAAGAGCCCTTCAGGTCTGTGCCTGCTTCACAGAGGCCCGAAGTGAGGCAGGCAGGCTCAGGAAGGCCCCAGCGGCTCTGGAGCTTTGGCAGAACAAGTACTTAGCTGCTGCTCTCTAGCATCTCCCCCAAATGTGGGGCCCTTATCTTGTTACTGGGTGGTTTAATCATTTGTTGATGGCTTTCTAGTGGGATGCCATGGCCGCATGGGCGGCACCTGCTACGGAAGGACCGGGTGGGGCTTCTCTGTGGCACCAGAGCTCTTCACACCAGCCTCCTGACCCGTGTCACCGGGACTTGCTGGCTGAGGGGACTCTGCTTTCTCTTGCAGTTGGAGGAGCTGCTGGACCTGGCTGTGCTCGAGGAGATCCAGCAGGAGCTGGCTGACCAAGGTGACCTCGGGCAGGGTCCCTCCACCTGCCTCTAGCGAGCCTGGCACTGAGCACTTTTCAAAGTAGAATGCCTTCCTGACTGCCCCCCTCCTCTATGCTCAGCTCTAGGCGGGTGTCAGGAATCCCTGCTTTGACCGTGAGGTCTTGGCTCTTCCCCAGAATGAGTCTTTTGTGCCTGGGCCTGGTGCTCAGGCTCCGTGTCCCGTGTGATCGCCTTCTGCTGTGGCGTGAAAATGGACACAGGCCTCACGGGTGCGGCTGTGTTCCAGCAGGATGTGATTTAGAAGACCGATGGCTGGTGCAGCCGTGTAGATACCGCGTAGACCTGCAGCGCAGGGACCCGTCTCTGGCACAGCTGCCCCTCCTTCCTGCCGCATCCTTGGTGTGGTTGTGTGCTCACCACGCGAGCGAACACGGGTTGTGAACAGCACAGACTGGGCGTACGGTCGTCAGGGAACAGATCGCTTTAAACTCCGCCCTTAGTGCCAGGCAGGGTCCAAGCTCTCCAGCGACCCCCTGAGCCCGATGCTTCTGGGGCCGCATGTCTCGGGCTCACGCACACGTGGGACAGGCGAGAGGGGCGGGAGCCAGCAAGACGAAGCCGGGCAGAGCAGTGAACGTTTGTGCCGGGTGGCGGGGTCCTGCCGGGCTCCCTGTCTGGTGTGGGTGAGGCTGGGCTGCGGGACAGGCCTGGGGCAGGAGGCAGGAAGGGCGCTGCAGCTGGCCTTTGCCCCGCAGAACGGCGCCTCCTCAGCGAGTACGAGAAGAGCCTGCAGTTTGATGAGCGCTGTCTCAGCGTCATGCTGGCCGAGTGGGAGGCGAACCCTCTCATCTGTCCCGTGTGCATGAGGTAAGAGATTTCAAACCCCTTTTAGCATTACGGGTGGACGACGTGTCTCGCGCAGGCTGGCTGTCTGCAAGGGTCTGGGGTTCCTTCGGTGCCGGCCCCGGCGCGCTGTGATGCCAGCTCTGCTTCCAGGTCCAACCTGAGAGTGTCCGGCGGTGTGGTCACGTGTCCGTGTGGCCTGTCCCTCCCCTCGCACGTGAGTGTTCCACACGCCCATCCCGTGTCCCTCCTTCCCACATGTGTCTGCTTGCTGGAGGCCCTTTGCTGGCGCAGGAGCCGATGGGGTGCGTTTGCTCCTGGCGCCCTGGCCAGCTCACGCAGGTGTCTGGGAAGCGGCCACAGAGCCCACAGGGCCCACAGGGCCCACGGAGCTGGCCCGGGGATGGGCACACACTGTGGCTGTCCCAGCCGTTTGGTCCCTGTGCTCAAGACCTTTACAGGGAGAACTGGAAACACTTGTATCTGCCTTCGTGTGAAGTTCCCACGTAGGAAGACTCAACTAGACTCGAACATAGGCCTCAGTGGTCCCGAAACACAAAGGCACCCTCTTACTGGGCGTGATGGGGCTGAAAGTTTGCAGCGGGGAATGGGGACAACGAGCATCTTGTGGTCCGCTTCAGACACACCCGGACTGGCCAGGCCCCAGGCAGGGCTCTGCCAATGGGAGCAGAGTTGTGCCCGTCTGGCCCCGAGGGGGCAGGTCTGCCCTCCCAGTTCCGCTTCTGTAAAGTGCGCCACGGAGCGGAGTGTGGACTTGAGTTTGTCCTCTCCATCGTTGACGTGACTCAGCAGCTTTTTCTGTTCTTTAAACAAGCCCTCTTTCTGAGCGTTTGCTAAACATTCCATTCCTTACCTTTGAAAAAAAGGAAAAGAAAGCGTTTTCATTCTCGTTGCTGGGTTCCAACGCATACAATGGCATGATTAACACAGAGTGATACCACCCCGAGGTGCTGGCTCCTGGGAAGGACACGGCAGCCGTGGCGGGGCAGAGGGACCAGGGAGGTGGCGGCCCCATGCCCTCTTGGTGCTGCTCACGTAGGAGTGGGGGACGGCAGTCACCCAGAGGGGTGCTGCAGTCATGGAGTTTAGCGCAGCCAGGAGTGTGAGCGCGTTGGAAGGCTGCGCAGAGCCATCCCACTGGGCGGCTGGAGGAGTTGGGATTTTCAGGCTGTCGGCTCAGACGTGAGTGGGGTCAGGTTGCAGCTTAACTGGCTTATTTACTAGTCTCCAGGGTTGACGGAGCAAAAGCTTCGAGCCTGCTTAGAGGATTGCGTGAATGAGCACGGTGCACACTGTCTGCACATGCCTGAGTTCTCGGTCACGGATGGGACGGAAGAAAAGCCCAGTCTTCTCATGAGCTGCGTGGTAAGCCTCCCATGGGACCCCGTGGTGGAACCGGCCATGGTTGGCGTTGTTCCCACCCCAGCAGAAATCATACAACCGGGTAGATGTTTCTTCTTCTTTTTCTTTGTTCGTTATGGCATTCTTTTGAGGCGGAGAGACGTTTACGAGTGCAGTTTAGTCTCTGAGGAATTTACTGGCATGGGAGAGTGGAGGTAACGTGTCACTTACATTAGGAGGTCTATGGTCACCCCAAGGGCAGGGACAGAAGGGGAGGCCCGGCTGACGGGCAGTGGTGCACTCAGACCCGGCCGATGGTTCCGTGCTCGGGACACCCAGAGAGGACGTGCCGTGTGGGCCTGCTGGAAGAAAACAGGATGGCGTCAGGTCGCCGAGGGAGGGCAGGCCTACAGCTACCAGACGGCTGGACGGTGGGGCAGGAAGCGGTGGGATTGCCTGCGTGCTGTGGGCCCCGTGATGTCATCATGAGATGGGTGTGGGCCCAGCTACTGGGGACAGCAGGCAGACTCTGACCGGATTGGGTGTTGGGACCCCTGCCGTTCCCTGCTCAGTGGGGGTCTCAGTGGTGGGGCCCTGCTGGCCTCTGGGTGGGGGGCAGGGAGCACAACGGGTGGAGTTTAGGAACAGGCGGCCACTCCCTTTACTCCAGACGCACCCCCCGAGCCTCGAATACGCAGGGTCTCCGGCCCACATGCTCTCGGTCCCGCGGCTCTGGGTCTGAAAGACCTTTGGCTCCGGGATGATTTGCACACATGTGTAGTGAGCCCGGCTGGGCACCACATCCTGGAAGCCTGACTCCTGCTCTCCCTGGGCCTGAGGCTGTGTCCCCGCAGCACTATCATAGGGACCCACCTGTGTGCTTGTCCTATGTGGCAAGATCACACACAGGTGTGTCCTCCCAGCCCCTGGCCCAGAGGCAAGCCCCTCATGTGTGTGCAGACGGGTTCAGGTGGGGAGTGGGGGCTGCGGAAAGCACAGGTCTGGGGGCAAAGGATCCTCACGGACCCCAACCCAATCCCAGGGTCCCCTCCCTGGATGGCCTGGGCCCCACAGCTCCGAGCAGTGGGATTAGTAGCGCTGGGAGGGACGACAGGGAGTCACAGCAAAGATGAGACAGGAGTGAGGGAGGGGCAGAGGCGTCCATCAGCGTCTGAGGTCACTAGGCCTCTGGTTTCACTTCAGGGGACTCGGGTTCAGAGTGGATGTGGAGGAGTGGGTGCAGGTTACCGTGAGGACGTGGCCAGGTGAGGTGTGGTCACAGGATGGAGTGCGCCAGAGCCGGGGTGTCAGCCGTGCGGGTGGGTGGCCTCCTCTGCGTGGTGGTGGGGATTGAGGGAGACCACTTTGTGCTCCGACGAGCCCCGACTGCGAGGGTAGACCCTGGAAGGCGTGCTGGCACGCGCGGGCAGTAGGCTCAAGTTCTGCCTGCAGCGGGCACGCCCGTCCATCCCAGGTTCAGGCAACAGAGCCTCACCTCCCTGCGAGGCCGTGAGAAGCCACTGGTGACCTGCGGGGAGGCTGTTCGGAGTCCACGTCTGGGACCTGCTTCGAGCTCCTGGCACACGTGCCGCTGTCCTGGGATTGCAGGGTCGGGTCCTGTGTGCAGACACCCCACCAAGGCCACCTTGTGATGGCATCTGAACGCCACCCCGTCGTCCCTGCTGATGAGACTTGGACGGCATGGAGATGGTGTGTGACCGGGGCTCTCTTCTGTCCAAATCCAGGCTTGCGACACGTGGGCCGTGATTCTCTAGTGCCGACCTCCACTCCCCACTCTTCTGGGGCACATGACTCGCTCCGCCTGGGACAGGGCCTTGTAAATACTAGCGTTTAACTTATATCGGATTTTGTACTAAAACTCTGAAACCTCTGTGCTCTCGGTGTGTTGGGACACAGGCTGGAGGGGAAGAACAGCAAAGACAACGGAGGAAACTGACTGATTTTATTGTCCATCATTACATTAGACAATCTCGGAGCAGGAGGGTTGTAGAGACGCAATAAACAAGGGTAAATGAGACTGCAACGGAAGTCATTTAAATCTGAATCACTCTCCATGATAGCAAGAAGGAAACCATCTCCAAGCCCCCGTCCGTCTGGCTCCCGCAGGCTTGTGCCCCGGCAAAGCCGGGCGCCTGCTCTACTGGGTCTTGACAAAGCCCTGGAGGTCTTCGAGGAAGGTGATGTACTCCCGGTGCTCCAGGGCCGTGCTGAGCTCCACTAGCTCGTCCGCGAACGTGTTGTCCACCCCTCGGTCGGCCAGGAAATCCATCAGGTGGTCGTACAAGGCCTGTGAGGACAGAAGGGCCTTCCTGGTCCCAGGCCGCTCCCCTGCCAGGCGCCGGGCCTCCCCACCGCACCACACCCCTGCCCGCACTCACCCAGTCTAAGGAGTCGGTGTTGAGTGTGTAATTTGTGTCCTTCCACTCTGACTCACCGACGGCCTGAAAGCTCACCTCCCTGATGGAAAAGATGTCATTCTCCTCCTCCTCCTCTTGCCCAACCTGAGAAGAGATGGGGTTGGGGAAAGTGAAGGCTTTCCCAGGACAAACCCACCACTTACCGCTGCCAACTCCCCCAGTTTCACTTCTGCCCTCCCCCCGCCAGCTTCCCTGGTCTCTGCCGGACAGGCCAGCGCCCTTCCTCCCCTACCCCGTGCCCCATCCCACACACCTCATCTTCTGGATAATGACAGTCCAGCACCAGAGCCTTCTTGCCGCCGTCCTTGATGACTTCCACCACGAAATTGGGTGTGGACGTCAGTTCAGGCTGGGGACACGAGAGCACATCAGTCCATTGCCTGAACCGGCTCATGGTTCCGGGGATCTGACGACTACCACCGTTAGGACAGTCCTTAGCCGCTTCTAAACCCCTCCATGATCCTGCCCCTTGATAAGGAGCCTAGAACCTTCCACAGCACTCAAGCCATGTACCGGCCTGTTCCAGAGACTGGGCTACACTGTTCTCATGGTCCCTCCCCGAGTTCTGAGCCCAGTTTTAGAGGGTGGAGGCTCACACATCTACGGGGTCTCACAACTGTTAGCCCCTGATTACTTACAGAATGTCCCCAGTTTAAAGTGCAGAAATCGGAGCCAGGGTCCAGCTCCGTGAATTGGTCTGCTCTCCCCCAGGCCTGTTAGTCCACCCGTGCACCGCGAAGCTGGGCTCGACCTCCCAGATGTCACTCCCGCTGCCCATTTCGGGCTCTTCCTCTGTCCCAGGGCAGGCCCCAAGCCAGCGCATTGGGCTAAGTGGCCGTCCTAAAGCTGAGCAATCCCAGCAGCCCTCCCAGTGGTGGTGAGCCGTCCCGTGTCAGGGAGGTTACGGTCGGGGTGGCGGAGCCAGGAGTGCCGAGGGGTATCCTCTCTCTGCTCGGCCCAGAGATGGTCCTGGTACCTGCTTAGTCAGGAGGTCCAGAGACCCTGCGGCCCCCATGCTGGCTGGTCCCTAGACCAGGCCCGCGGCCCCCCACAACGTGTGCAGACCGGGCTCCCTCTGGGTCCATGCAGGAGGGCCTGTGGCCAGAGCAAACACCTTGTCCACCTTTCGGATGTCAGTCTGACGCCCCAGCTCCCCAACTGGTGTTATAGCCAGCCTGACACGCTAGAACATTCCTCCCTGGCAAACACTCGAGATGAGCCTCCCGATCGTGGGAAGGCACAAGTGGGTTCAACTCCTCCCCACCGAGCGAACACAGGCCCTGGCACAGAGCCCACACCTGCGGGGCCCACGGTTCTGGTGCAGGAGCCCAAAACCGCGGCTTAGGGAGTCAAGGCCCAAGGGCAGCCGTGGCCCTGCCTGTCCCCAGCAGCAAGAGGAGCAAGGGAGACCCAGGCCCTCCCCGGGTGCAGTCTGCTTACCTCCTGTTCTTCTGCCTTCTGCCCCTGGGACGGCTCCTCCTCACCGTCAAACGTGGGTGGGATGCTGTTGTTGGTGTTGAAGGTGACGGTGACCCTGCAAAAGCAGAGAATGGCCCAGCGGGACCCTGCAGCTGAGCGAACTAGCAGTGAGCGTGGCTACAGTTACAAGGGCGACCGAAACTATGTGTCTGAACCACAACAATATGTCCGAACTGTGAGCAGCTGCTGGAAGTCAACAGGCCCCACGTCATCTCTCCAAATGCAGTCCCGGTGGGGGAGGGTGGGCTCCCGTGGCTGTAGCCAGCGCCCACCCTATCTTGGGGGTAGGGGCCCTCCGCGGGCGTTGAGCAGCCCAGAGAGCGGTGGTGCCCAACAGAAGCTTCCTTTAACACCTTTCCTCCCTGCAAAAATCTGCCCGTGGCGGGAGGGGGAGAGAGGCACCCAAGGGCTGCCCTCAGCAGAGGACCCAGAGGGGCCGCGGGGAGGAGGGGGGCTCCCCGACACTATGCTGCCCTACAGAGCCGCTCTTCTCCCTTTTTTTTTTTTTTTAATTAAAGAGCTTATCCATTTGAGAGAGAGAGCACAAACAGGGGAAGTGGCAAGCAGGCAGAGGGAGAAGCAGGCTCCCCGCTGAGCAGAGAGCCCGATGTGGGGCTCCATCCCAGGACCCCGAGATCATGACCTGAGCCGAAGGCAGACGCTGCACCCACTGAGCCCCCAAATTCATTCTTCAAAAACAGTGGTTTTATAACCAGAAGTTTTATAACCACGAAGCAAGGCGGAAACACTCAACTCCTTACAGTTCAGCTCCAAGAATCCTCTGCCGCCCAACCCTGCTCCGGAGCCGGGAGGGCAGCAGCAAGGAGGGGACGTGCGGCACCAGCTCGCTCAGGATCCCCAAGCACTGCCTTACCAGGAAGGTGCTGTCCCGCCCCCGCGATGCTAGCAGTCACGGTCAGTCACACTGTCTCCTCTGCCCTTGTGCTGACCAAGCCAAGCTCCTGGGCGCACAGGTGCAGTTCTAGTCACGGGAACACGATCCACGGTGACCCCAAACTGGCTGTGACTCACCCCAGGACGAGGGCTTAGGATGTCACAGGGTGTGTGTGTGGGTGGGGACTGACACACACCAGGGGCAGAGAAAAACAGAACCCTCCTTTACAGCAGGTACAGAAGTTTACTCAAAGAGCGGACAATGAGCAGTGGAGCGAGGTGGGAAGTTCCCCACCTTTCTTCCGGGTACACTCACGGCCCTGTGTCCTCATCTGCTCACACAGGAGGCCCATGGCTTGCGTTGCGTGTTCCCTGCTATAAACATGGTTTCCCTCCCCAGTGCGAGAGTCTGCACCGCAAACCTGAGGCCAATCTGCTTCAGTCAGCACTGTACGAATTTCTTAATCTGGGGCAACCAGGTGGCTCCGTCGACTAAAGCGTCTGCCTTCAGCTCAGGTCATGATCTCAGGATCCTGAGATCAAGCCAGGCATGGGGTGGGTGGGTGGTCTCTGTTCAGCGGGGAGTCTGCCCCTCCCTCTGCTGCTGCTGCTGCCCCCGGCCCAGCCCCGCTTGTGCTCTAATATGTCTTTAGAAGAGGAAGAAGCGTCTGAGTCCGTGTGTCTGCGTTCAAGCACAGCCTGACCAGGGCGACAGCCTCTACAGTCCACGAGACCTCCAGCGACACCCTTTCCTGCCTTACCGAGTAAGCCAGCTCTTGGCACATCCGTGTGCAGCCAATGACCAACCTGGACATCGGGCGTCCAAGGACCTGCTCTACTAAAGGCAGTCCTGGGAGAAGGCAGGGCAGTCTCCGCGGCCTGCAGGCTCCCCGCACTTACTTTTCCCCGGCAACTCTCCGCACAAGCTTGGCTTCCGTCCCGTTCACTTCCAGCTCCCAGCCTCCCGACATCTTGGGGAGGGACTTGTGCTTCTGGATCTTCCTTTCCTCCTTAATCTCATCACTCAGGAACTCCACGAAAGCCTTATCTCCTACAGTGAAAGTCCGAAAAGAACAGAGAGAGAAGACCCTGTTCAAATCCTAAAAAGGAAGGGTGGGGGGCGGTGACGGCAGCCAGAAATCTGGCCTCGGGGCTGTTCCTGGTAACTCCTGCTGGTGAGGGGACTCCGGCACTCGGGAACGGGCCGAGTCCCGCCCGCTAGGCTTCAGGACGCGGACCGGCGGCCGTGCTGGGTGCCCGCGGCACCAGGCCGAGCCCAGTTCTGGAAAAAGAACTCCGACAGGGAAGTCCCACCGCCACGCTCCACCGCGAAGCCAGAAGCTCCCAGTTACGCACAGACATGACCTCCTGCCCTCGACCCCGACCGCCGGACCCCCAGGACCCCCTTAGCAGGCGCGGGGCGAAGCCGGCCGCCAGGGACTGGAAGCGGCGCTGACCGAAGCGCCGACCTGCAGGGGGAAGGCGGGAAACGCCACCCGCGCGGCCGCGGCCCGGCGTGGTCCACCGGCGGGGCAGGCTCCCGACCCCGCCCCGGCCCCGGCTCCGCCCCGGCCCCCGACCCCCGACCCCCGACCCCGGCCCGAGCCTCACCCTGCGTGTGCAGCGCGCCGCAGCCGCAGCCGCAGGGCCCGCGGGAGCGCAGGAGGCCGGCGCGCACTCGGAGCGACCCGAAGGGCCGCACGCACGGCCGGGGCGCGGGCTGCAACAGCGGCCGAGGCGGCGGGGCGGGCGCGGCGCGGAGCACGGCGGCCGCGGAGCCCAGCGCGCGGGGCACTCGGCGCAGCAGAGGGAGCATCGCGGCGGCGGACACGTGCGGGTGCGAAGGACGAGCCCAGGCCCTAGATCCCGGCCCGCGCGCCGCCGGAAGTCCCGCCTCCACCGGGAGCGTCTCCGCGCCGGCGCAGTGCGCGCGCGAGCCTCCAGGTTAGGCGCGCCCCCTGCTGGACGCCTCCGAGGTCAGCGCCACCGAGCCCTGCGGGCAGCTCTGCTCTGGGGCGGACCCTCTGAATCCCTGCGACCCCGGCCCAGTGTGCACCCGCCTCTGCGTGCATCCCGCGGCGTTATGCACAACCCTCCCCCGGCGTGCACCCCGCCGCCACGTGCGCAACCCTCCCCCAGCGTTCACACACCCCTTGCGTGCACAACCCTCCCCCAGCGTGAGAAAACCCCACTGCGTGCACTCCATCCGGACGTGTACCTCCGTCCCCCTCCACCCTATGCACAAACACGCTTCCCAGCATGCACCCAGTTCCAAAGCCCTGGCATTGCTCTGGGGCCAGGAGGCTGGGAGCAGCAGTGAAGGGCCCAGAAAAAGAGAGCTTTCGAGACACCAGCGAGGTCACTTCAGGCCCCCAAGCTATGCTCAATGACCTACACCTTACTCCCCGCAGCAGCTTCTGGCAGAACCAGGCTGCGTCAGAATGGCAGAGTTGCAAAAAGCCTCAGTAGTCAAGGACTCAAGGTAACAAAGGGGAAGCAGAAACTAAGCCACATCAGAAATAAGAAAGGGAGGACTGGGGGGCTCAGTAGGTTAAGCGTCTGCCTTTGGCTTGGGTCATGATCACGGGGTCCTGGGATCCAGCCCCATGTTGGGCTCTGAGCAGGGAGCCCGCTTCTCCCTTTCCCTCTGCCTGCTACTCTGCCAGCTTGTGCTTTCTGTCAAATAACTGAAGTTTAAAAAAAAATTAAAAAAAAAATCGTAGTAAAACTCTTGGGCTGTTTCAAAAGCAGTCAATGAGCCCCAGAGCCCACCCCATTTACACTGCCTCTGCAGTGGGCCACTGGCACCTTGCTTCAAGACTACAATTCTTTGCCCTGGGAGTTGCACAAGATTCATTAACATAACACAGGATGCGAGGAAAGGCCGTTTTTTTTGATCTCCCGCCTGCACTGCACAACCTCACATCCACCTCTACCTGCCCAGACAAAACACCCCTTTATGAGTAAGACTGCAACAAACCAGTCTGCGCCAAGGTGGGAGCCACAGTGCACCCCAGCGTGGGCCTTTCAATGACCTTCTCACATTATAACACTGAAAATCCCTTGGGGTGGACATTTAACATGCTAATTAGACACACAAGAAGAAAGGTGACCTTTCAGTGCACAGGCACTGGTACATCCCTGCCTCTCTCTCTCTGTTTGGAGGGCATCCTTTTCCCACCCTGATCTCTCCCCCAGGGAGTCAGCCTGAGAACTCCCCCGTTCCCAGCCCTCCTGGTCAGGTTCTAGTGTTCCGAGAGCCCGTGATCCTGTGAAGAAAGTCAGTCCTCCCAAATGGTGGCCGAGATCAGACGAATACTGAAATACCTTCTATGCACCCGGGAAAAGAGAGCCACACACGCGGCATGCGAGACTGATCTTTAATGGAGCCCGCGGTCTGGCTGGAGTGTGACACTATACACAGGGCCAGTGGTCTCCCCGCAGCCAGCCCTGCCAGCAAGAACAGGCCTTCAGAATACAAGGAAACCTAAACAAAGGTGGGGTTTTCTCCTACAAGCTTAATGTTCCCATCAGACTATAAAACCCTTGCTTCCCGTCAGTGTGTCCCATGCTCACAGACTAACGTCTCTGGGAGGAGAATTGGGCCGCATCCTGCCCGCCCCAGCCGCCTGCGGAGATGCCCCCCGAAGACAGGCCCTTATCGGGGACTGGATGCTGGTGGCTTGTCCCTCGCGGTGGCTCTGTGCTGCCCTGCTGGCTGGCCTCCGGGGAGGGCATCTCCCTCCACAAAGCTGCTCATGGGACGTGGTGATTCACCCTGAGTGGGCCCAGGCTGGAGAACAGGCAGCTGGCCTTGGAGGTCTCTCACGGACCGCGAAGCAACGTCACCACGAAACGTGGAACTTTTAAGAAAGTTTCTTAAGAGAAAGCGCAGTGTCCGCCACAGGTCGATGCAAGCAGCACTTTATTTTCTTGTGGTGATTCATGGTCAGAACAGGGTTTCCAACCTGCTTCACTCCCTGAGCAGCTAGGTTAAAAATGAACTTTTTCAAAAGTCCAGTAAAAAAAAACTACTGTATCAAAACTCTGCCAGAATGTTGCAGCAACTAACTTCTTTCTGTAGAGAAACACGAAAGCTGCTGGCAGCTCTGTGCCCCGTGCTCCCACTCTGAGCAGGACACGCACTGCCCTCGCCCAAGGAAGCCCAGAGAACGTGCCGGCACATCACCAACCACTCCCCACTCTTAACAGCACGATTCCCATTTTATTAAAAATACAATGTATTCTTTTCCCCAGTCAGCTTGAACGTCCTAGGCCTCTATTAAGAAGTGAAAAAAATACACTTAAAAATTTTTCTGAAAAACTCGTCAGAAAGGCAGCAACTATAAACAACGAGGTGGTCTGCAGAAGAGCCAGCTGAAAGTCTGAGAATGCGGGAAGACAGGTATCTGGGACCCCGCGGCCCTGGCCAGTCGCTGGGGGTGCTCCGGCCACATGCGGCGCATTAGCGGGATAGACCGCAGGGACGTTGGGGAGGTCGAGCCCGCACCCCGGAGCAGAGACCGCCCGCGGTCCCTACGCAGTGTCAGGCAGTGCGGCCCCCTTCCTCGGAACCCCATGGTCCACTTGGTAAGGAATGACGGAGACGCTGTACACCGGGGTTCTGACCACAAAGCCCAAAACAAATGCTAAGTCAGCTTCTCTTACGGCAAACACTCTGAAAAAGCTGACTTGCTTTTGGTGGTCAAACAGTGAATAAGAACCTTTGGTGTCTCTCCCCTTCCCAGAACAGGAGGCCGGGAAGAGACGGGAGACTCTGGGACTCCCACAGACGTGCAAACTGTGGCCCAATGGCGGGGGCCGGCTCACGCAGGAAGCCAGGCTGTGTCCCCTTGTCCCCACGAAGAAGGAAGCAGAGAGACGACGAATGAGATGGGACAGCACAAGCCCAGGGGCAGCAGACAGGACCCCAGGTGTGGCCGGGTCCTCACGGGCCCTCCCCCTTCAGCCACCCCAACAGCTCTCTGCCTAGGCCCCACCGGGACAGACTTGGCCGGTCCTCGCGCCCGTGGGGTCACACGTGCCCAGCTGGGGGGAACAGCGGCCAGTGGCCATGCTCGACAGTCCCCTCGTGCTTGGAGGCGGCGACGAGGAGGCTGGCACCCTGGGGTATGCAGTTCAGAAGGGAAGAGAAGACAGTACGTCCCTCCTCCAACTTCTACAGACCTTAGGACACATCCAGGGACAGCTGAGCTCTGCGACCCCGGAGTCCTCTCCCGGGAAACCTGGCCCCATCACAAGGACTTGGGGAGTCTCACGTTAGAGAGCAGCACACGGGGCGGGACAGCCTGCGTGTCCCAGTCACGCACCCGCTGAAGCCACCTGAGCCAGACCCTGCAAGGGCCATCCCTGCGCCCCCACGTGGCAGGCGGGGAACCCTGCTGGGACCGGGCTCTGCGCTCCGGGCTGGGGGTCGGGCGCTCTGCAGTCAGGGGCAGTGGGCTCAGTCGCGGGCGGCCCGCAGCTTCCTCCGGAAGTAGTCAGGGGCGGCCTCGTGCAGCCAGTCAGCATCCACGACGCACACGTCACGCATGTAGCAGCGGCTGGTGTGCAGCAGCTCCGTGTACACGACGCAGGCCGGCCGACAGTGGAAAAGCACGGACGAGGGGTGGATGGCCACCGGCTGCCGGCTGTCCGTGGTGACGTACGTGCCATCGGGCTGCAGCTCGGCGGTGCTCATGAACAGGCTGTGTGCCAGGCACCGGCGGATGCTCTCCCCGTCCCCGCGGGAGGACACCATTGGCATGGACATCTGCGGCGGGAGAAGTGGGCGCCAGACACCAGCCCTGGTCAGGCTCAGACGCAGCCCCAGCGCCAGCCCGGCCTAGCGGGCGCTGCTGCTGCAGGAGGCCGTTGGTGGGGCCGCAGGGGTGCAGATGCACTCGGGCCGGGGAGGGGGATGGATGGCCAGCTGTGGCCCTCAGGGAAGGGCCTTTCCCGCACTCCCACTGCAGCCAAATTACCCTTCCTGCTCTGGAGCGCCCCTCCAGCAAGCACCTCCCCGAGCCTCCCCTGTCTGCCTCTTGCAGTCGTCCCCCCAGCACCAGTTCCAGAAGATCCCGCCCCTCAGCTGCACCCCCGGGGGCACCAGCCAAGCAGGCCGCTGGTGGACACCGCCTGACCCCGCCATCTGACCACGGTCTGCGGCTCCCCTGAGGGGAGAGGCCTGGGACAGCAATCACCGCGGAGGCAGAAGGTGGGAAGCGGGAGAGGCACTCACAGGGCGGCCAGAGAGGACCTGCCCCCATCTCTGACCTGTCCCTGTGGGGTTCAACCATTTCCTGTCCACAGCCTCCCAGAGAAACCTCTCTCCCCACTTCTCCCTTTAAGACGCCTCCAGGGGTTTTGGTTTCTGCAATCTGCTGATCCCCGCCTGAGGGGGACCCTCTTCATCTCAGCTGTTACCGCCTCTGAGGAGTCCCCCAGTCCTGCCACTAACTGCTGCTCTCTCCTTCCACTGGCCGTGGTTTGGAAGAAACTACATAGGTATGTAGGCTCCAGTCTCAGCGACCGTCAGGTGAGCCTGAAACCCGACAGCGGAGAGGCAAGGACTTTGGATGAGGGGCACGGGGGCGCTCCCCGACGCGCAGGACAGGTACCTTCAAGCAGATGTCCCTCAGCTGTGCTCGGACCTCAGCCACCAGCGCCATGTTCTTGCTGTTGACGAAGTTCTCTCTGCACCAGTCCTGAGTGGGAAAGAAAGGGTCAACACACCCGTCACTTGCACAGAGGAAAGAAGTAAGAGAACTTTGAGAACTGAATTCGGAAACAAGACATCAGTCGCCAAAAATAAATAGAGGGAAACAGCTTTCTGTCAGAAAGCATGAACCGTAAGGGGACACAGACGAAAATTCCCTCATGTCCTGGATTTATGACCCCAGAATGCATTTAAAAAACTCCTACGTGGCGACGAGACAATGACCAGCAAGTCGGCAGGACAAAGGACAAGGATGCGAACAGCCGCCCCGCAGACACGGGCTTCGAGCGTCCGGTACAGGTCGGGGGAGCCCAGCCTCAGGAGCGCTCCCGGACGGCGGCTTAAACCAGCTGAGAGGTGCACCGGCTCAGCGAGAACGCAGCATCTGAGCGTCGGACGGTGGGAGTGGGAACCTGCCCTAGCCGGGGTGGCTGGGAAGCCACTGCGCACCGGGCCAGAGTCCGGCATGCGGCGGCCCACACGAGACGGGCCGCCCACCCGCAGGCCGCGCTTTCGCCGGACGCACAGCGTCCTATGTCCTCGAACAAGCCGAGGCGGACGAAGCAGGACGCTGGCCACCACCCAACCCGGGCGGCAGCTTGTTTCCTTCTGAGACCCGACTGCACGATGCAGAGTTGAGGCGCACACGCCGGGCGGGTTTCACGGACGCGAGACCCCGCGGGGTATTCGTGACGCCCGCGTCTCGCCATCGCACTTGCCGCAAACAACTATTTTATACTTGTTTCCGCTGACCTCATGACGCACAACAGCATTTTCGCTTCTACGGAAAAGGGGGGAAGCAAGAGCAGCACTCGGGGGGTGTTCTGTTCTGCAGGGAGCCCCGCAGAGGGGCCCACTCAGCCCCCGGCCCGGAGCGGCGTGGATGCCCGAGCTGCGCTGATCCCCGGGAGGTGTGCAGACCCCCTGGAGCCGTGCTGACCCGGGAGCCGACCCGGGAGCCGCGCCGGGCACCCTGGCCTCAAGCCGCCACAGGAGCTGCCCGGGTTCGGCTGCATTTATCTCGCGCACCTGTTCGCAGCAGGGACCAGGGTACCAGGGCAGCCTCAGGCAGGCTGCCTTCCGGATCTGGGAGCCCGGAAAGACACCTCCGCGCGAATCAATGACCACAGCTGCTTCCCCGTCTGCTGCTCTGGCTTGCGGCAGGGCTCACAGATGGCTCTGCCTTCAGACACGGGGCTCTAGAATGCTGTTCCCATTCGGGTCTGAGGAACCGCAATACCCTCCAGGCGCACGCTACCGTGCAGACAGGCCGGCGGGGCGGGGGGAGCTCATTTGTAGCAGAGAAGCCGGGCCACCCCACGCACAGGGCCCCTGCCCAGTGAGGAGGAGCGGGGCACGGGCGGGGCGGAGGCCGGAGCTGCGGGTCTCCCCAGTGAGGCCTGGGCACACTGACTGGGGCTCGGGATGTTCCACTGGCTGGGCAGGCGAGTGCCAATCTCAGACATGTGGGAGGAGGCGCTGCGGGAGAGAAGGCCCCGGCTGAGACCCACCTTACTTCCGCCCAGGTTCTTGAAGGCCCGGTAGATGTTGAGCAGCGTGATATGGTCCCCCTCGCTGGACACGAACTTCCTACGGACGGCCTGCACCTCGTCCCGCCGGGAGGGAGGGTCGTACAGAACGCTGTCCACCGACAGGAGGGAGACGACAGTCAGGATCTCCTCGGTGCAGTGGAACTTGGGGGACAGGAGGAGGGTCTGCAAACAGGAATTACAACTGTGCACCCTGAGACTTCTCCCTGCTGAGCACAGTCCGTCCACACTGCCCGTGCGGCAGCCCCACTGCGACCTCGGAGGCCAGGTGCCTCCCCAGCCACCACCGCCTGCTCTCTGGAACCCGATGACCCGCCCGCAGGCTCCCACAGTACTCGAGGAGGGCTCCTGACTGCGTGACTCTGACTCCCACACCGGACACCAGCACGCGTCAGACGCAAAGCAGGGCCACAGCTGCTCCGAGGCAACAGCGAAGGTGGAAGCCAGGGCACCGGGGGCGCAGGTGACCGCCGCATAAGCCGTGTCGGAGAGAAGGGGCACTGAGTGGAAGGAGTGACTTACTTTGGCGAATTTGGGGTCTAAAGGGAAAGCGGCCATCTTTCTCCCCACCGGAGTCAGGGTGAGCTGGCCGTCCTTCTGTTCGAGAGCACCTAACAGGTCCAGCTGGGCAACCGCGGCCTGAACGTGATCTGCAGGAAAACCGGGAGAGAAGGACGCAGCTGCAGCCACTCTCTGCTTCGGGAGCCGAGGGCCCGGCATCCAACCCCGGTCCTCAGGGTGCAGCGGCCAGGGACACTCCCGTCTTCAGCTCCATCCACATCCTGTGATGTCCGGCAACGTCCTGTGACCCCGCTGCGTCACACACACGAAACCTGCGCACACCCACACTCGTGGCGCCACCAGGACCCACGTCGCCAGAAACAGAGACGCACGGCAGTGGAACAGAAGCCGTGCGAGGCCCAGCTGAGAAACATTTCTACTGTCTCCTTCATACGGCCTGTATTTCCAACCCTGGCCCCACGTCACCTGCTGAAAGATAAAGCTGCGCTTCTCAAGACGTAACACAGAGGAAATGACCCCCGAGGCCTGACGGGAAGTGACAGCTCTGGCACAGGAGGCGCTATGGGCACAGAACCCCACCCTGGAGGTCCTCTGGCCCCCGACAGCCACACTTATGCATAAAATGAAATGAAAGAGGAGGCAGCCCCCAGACGCGCTTCGGAGAGCCCAGCCATTTGCGGGTCCCGTCCTCCCGCGGCCCTGGCCCTGCATGAAGACCCCACCTACCCGGAGAGGGCTTGGACATGAAGTCGAAGGTGAGCACGTCGGGGACCTTCATGGCGAGGAGCTGCAGCAGCACGCTGGCCAGGTTGCACCTGCGAGGAGCAGACGCGCAGCTGCCGCACCGGCTCCAGGTCCCCCGGCTGGGTCCGCGGGGCGGCAGGGGCGGCGGGGGTGCGGGGGTGCCCACCTCTGGATCTCCGGCACGGTCATCTTCTCAAACTTCTCAAACTCGTCCTCCGTGTAGAGCCGGTAGCAGACGCCACTGCCCTCCCTGCCGGCCCGGCCCGTGCGCTGCCATGCCTGGGCCTTGGACACACGCTGCACGGCGAGCACCTCCAGGCCACTGTCTGCGGGGAGAATGGCCCGCATGAGGCCTCGCCCCACAAAGGATCACATGGGCTCACCGGCACGGGCACAAAGCAGCGCTCCTCAGAGCCCCAGTGAGTCTTCCTGCAGCACGCAAGTCCGGGAACCCCGAGGCCGTGTGGGAAAGCACAGAGCGGTGCACCCCACACTGAAACCGCGGGGTATGAATCTTTGGAACATCAGAAAGCCCGCATGCCCGGGGCCACAGGTCCCCGCCGAGACCACAGGGCCAGAGCTGCGCCGGTCTGCTGGGTCCCAGGCCACCAGGCTTTTCAATGCCCAAACCCCACCTTCAGGAAACTAGGGTAGCTGGCCAGCGGTCACTGCCTCGGAAAGGAGATGTCAGGGGCCCGGCCTGCACGGCCCTCCCGGCTCCGCTGTCAGAGGATCTTGAGGTGGTGTGATGGAGTCACGTCCAGGAGTCGTGTGGGTCCTGGATAAAGGTGTCCTCTGCACCAGGCCCGAGGGGACAAGTCCTTCCACACGCTACCTCCGAGTCCGCACCCTCGGATGCTTGGTGTTGCGCTGTCCTCAGACATCCCCGCTGCCTCTGATTCTCCATAGCACCAAGCCGGGCAGAAAGCAGACGGGAGGACCGGAGCATCCAGCAAGCTCCCAGTGCACACCCTCAGGGACAGCGGACCCTCACCCCAGCCTGGGCGGTCTCCTTCCTGGGACGCCTGGAGCTCGAATGTCCATTCCAACAAAGCTCCTGCCCTGTGTCAGGGGTCCCTGGCCGCACAGCCCCCTCACCCAGCTGCTCAGGAGTCTCAGGCCCGTCCTCAAGCTGGCGAAGCCTGGGCCCCGGCCTGCCCCACCTGGCCCCTGGCTCTTGCTGCCAGTCCCCTTCCTGGACACGCCTGCTTTTGGCCCATGTCACCTGCGGGGCTGGTGCCACCCTGGTCACAGCGAGTCTGAGCAGGAAGCGCTTGCTGGGAGAGGCTGTGGGGAAAAGAGGGGTTCGTGGGCGCCATCCTCACCAGGATTATACGTCTTTGCCTTCACCATGCCTGTGTCGACCACGTGCTTTATCCCCGTGATGGTTATGGACGTCTCAGCGATGTTGGTTGAAAGGATGACTTTGCGACAGCCCTGCAGGGAGGAAGAAACCGGAAAGTGACACACACGACTCAGGTTTCACAGCACAGTGCCCACCAGGAGCTCCCACAGCCCACGTGCACGCCAGAAACAAGGATCGCGTCACTGATGGGAATTCCTCACACTGAGCGGGGAGGTTCCCGTCCTTAAAGCTTATTTGAGAGGATGAGATGCAGGGAACCGGCAGGTGTGGCTAGATGCCTGGTCCCACCGGCCGCTGCCTGAGCACCGTCTCTCCGCTTCTCGGGGCCTCCGTGTCGACACGACTGGACCACCCCATGCTGCCAGCTCAGCAGAGGGCGGCCAATGCTTGTGATACGCGGTGCGGCCGGCGCAGGCAGCTGGTCTAGGTCGGACTGGGGAGAGCCCCTCGTGCGCCAGTCACCTACCGCCTGTGCCCACCCCACCCGCCGCGGTCTCCCCGCTCCCCCCGTTCTTACCAGGCCCGGGAGGCCCGTCTGGCCTGGGTCTTCCAGTCCCGCGGCTTGGCGGGTCACACATCTGGTACCCGAGCACCCCGCCCCACAGGTGCCCAGGGGCAGGGCCACATAGGCGGGGTGCGCGCTCACCTTCGGGGCCGCCTGGAAGACGCGGAGCTGCTGGGCATAGGGCAGGGAGGCGTACAGAGGAAGGACCAGCACGGGGGGGCAGCCGTCCGGGAGGTGCTTCGCGATGTCTCGGCAGGTCTTGCTCATGGCTTCGATCTCCTCCTGCCCCGTGAGGAACACCAGGATGTCCTGGGAAGGAGGCGCCTCCTGCAGGAGGGGAAGCGCAGCCTCAGGAGGTGCCTGCCAGAGCTCCGGCTGCGGCAACAGAGAGCGGTCACCAGCGAGCTTCCCGGATGGGTTTTCTTCACTGTGGAGAAGCGCGTGGGCCACACTCGGGTGTGTCCTTGGGGAGCACGCCCCCGCCGAAGGCGCCTGGAGCGGTCACCCGAGTGAGCTACGGTTAAATCCAGGCCCACCTCTAGTGTATCTGTGGCCCACGTGGGCCTGTCCCTCCCTCTACGCACAGGGAGGCGGTGCGCCCAGAGCAAGACACCGTGGCAGAGAAAAAGCTTGGACCCGTGTTGAGAGACGAGCGACGAGAGATGGGAGACGGAAGGACTGGGCCAAGGGTGCTCCAGCTTGGGCAAGGTCTGAAGGGTCTCTAGGGACAAGACCCGGTCCCACTCCCTGGAGAAGACAGGAAGGCCCGGGACTCGGCTGTGAGGTAGGGGTGGGTCACGGGAGGGGGAACCCGACAGCCTGCCCTCCTCTAACCGGCCAGAATGGATTTCAGCGCGGAGGCACGGGACCCGTCCACACAGTGGCGCCAAGGCTCGGGAGCTGCCCACCCTGTGGAAAGGCAGCATAAGGCGCTCCGGGGGAAGCGGACGGCATGCCAACGCAGGAAAGATACTGACAACAGGCAGACAGACCATAGATGCTGGAACACCTGGGAGGAAATGAGCCACGGGAATGCAGAAAACTCGTATAACTATGTCACATAAGGAAGGAGGCATCAGGACAGGCCCTGCTGGCAACGGGTCATGATGCTGTAATGCCCCCCACTGGCCTGAAAACCATGAGACGCGTCTATGCTGAGAGGTGTGGGGAGCAGGAGGCCAGGGAGGCTAAGGGTGTAGCCTATCTGCCTGGGGGGAACCAGCAGCTCCAAGACCCGCAGTGTAGGCCGGTACTGCTGGAAACACCGAATCCAGAGGAAACAGCTAAGAGAGCCACCAGGTCCCCTGAAACAATGGGATCTGAACCGGGGAAGTAAAAGCAGCTGCTGGGTGGCTTGTTTTTTTAGACCGACTGACTGATTTGAGAGGTACAGAGAGAATGTGTGTGCACAGCGCCATGCAGGAGAGGGGTAGGCAGAGAGAGAGACTCTCAAGCAGACTCCCGGCTGACAGGAACCCGCCACCTCCAGGGGGCGGAGCTCCTGACCGCGAGATCACGACCTGAGCGGACATCGAGATCCAGAGGCCTCAGGGGACCAGCCACCCACAACCCCAGCTGCTGTTTCTTATGACCCTCTTAGAACTACTGCCCTTTTTGACTTTACACACGCACCACTCAGATTAAAATAAAAGTTGTTTTTAAAAGATTTGCCTCTGGATTTTTTCAGAAAGTTAACGGGAAGGTACGAATAGTCAATTTTATGAGGGGAACCAAAACGAGGGAATTTAATCATTCTAACTTAAGTAAAGGAGAAGATTTTGAAATGCTTCTGTAATTGAGTTTTTCTGAAGAAGCGAAGAGCTCTAAAGGACCACCCTTACTGGGAGGACAGCAGCTTCTCCCACAGCGAGGCCGGAGCGGCCCACATGCCTTCCTTGGGGGGCAGCGCTGCGGGGCGCGAGGCCGATCAGAGCCAAGTGGTTTTCCCCTTTAGAGCGGATGTGAGACGCCGCAAGAAAGCAGCAGCGGGACAGGGCGACCCTTGGCAAGGGCCCAGCTCCCAGAGCACCCAGGACGGCAGCGTTTCCTCTCGCGGGGAGCGCACCCCCGACGGTGAGCTGAGCCCCACCTGTGCGGGTGCGCGGCTGTACCTGGTGGATCTGGAAGACGGAGACGAGCGCTGCGTGCAGGTAATCCTGCTGCGGCTGCTTGGTGTAGAGCACCTGGATGGGATGCTGCCGACCCTCCAGGTAGAGCACTGGCGCCCCGTCGAAGTACTTCGAGAACAGGTCCACGTCCATGGTGGCAGACATGACAACCACCTGCGCACGGGAGGGAAGAGCGCGAGGGCCAAGCCACGCCCACCCGTCCCATGGGTGCCCCTTCCCGCCCCGCGTACCCCTGGTGACCGACCCCTGTTCCAAGCAGGGCGGGCAGCCACCGGGAACACAGGCCTCTCCCTCTCCCAGACATGAGCCACACCTACTTTGAGAGGCGGCTTCCCCAGTTCCTTTCTCCTCTTCTGGGCGGTCTTCACCACCCCGAAGAGCACATCAGTGTGGACCGTCCGCTCGTGGGCCTCGTCCAAGACCACACAGCTGTACTGGCGCAGCAGAGAGTCGGAGATCGCTTCCCGCAGAAGCATGCCGTCTGTCAGGAACTTGATCCGGGTGTCTTCTGAGCTGACATCGTCGAAGCGCACGGTGTAGCCCACCTGCACGAGGAACCACGGGCTCAGTGGGCCCCGGCTGAGCAGCGGCTAGGTGCCCAGCACCCCCAGACACGTGTGCCCTCCTGGGGATCGGCCCCATGCCCTCGGGCACAGACAGGCAGTGGACGGGTCCCTTTAACTGCAATCATGAACACCACTAAAACTCGGGGCGCTGGGGGCTCAGCCGTTAGCCCTCCACCTTCTGCTCAGGTCATGACCCCACATTCCAGGATGGAGCTCCTCGTCCCACTCCCTGCCTAGCGGGGAGCCTGCTTCTCCCTCTCCCACTCCCCCTGCTGTGTTCCTTCTTTTGCTGTCTCTGTCAGATAAATAAAATCTTTAAAAAAAAATAATCTGAAACTAGACTCTCACCCCAGCTGCTGAGAAACTTAAGGTGACGCTCCGGACAGACAAGAAAAGGTAAGATGTTTTAAAGCGAAGTGCGCAAACGTGCACGAAGCTGCCGTACCCACAGGTCTGGGGCTCGATCTCCGCGCGCACTGTAAGCTAAAGAAATGCTTACGATCTCTCAGACACACAGAGGTTTCACAGAGGTTACTGAAGCCTCAAGAACACTCGCGGAAAGCAACTAATTCATCCGACTTGCCGACAGACCCTGAACACAAAGCAAACGCACAGACAGGTGACGTCGGAGGAACGAATGACAGGCTCAGGCCTGAGCGAGCTGGGGAAGAGAGAGCCTCCCGGCATCCCGGAGCCCGGCTCAGAGAAGCGCCATGCGGGCGGGCTGTCAGCAGAGAAGGAGGTGAGGTACCAGCTTCCCGAGCTCAGTTCTCTTCTCATCGGAGACTCTAGTGGCCAGAGAGATGGCAGCCACTCTGCGCGGCTGGGTTACAGCGATGACGCCCTGGCGGCCGAACCCCCCTTCGTAGAGGTACTGTGGGAGCTGCGTCGTCTTCCCGGAGCCGGTTTCCCCTGAGACAGAAGAAGACTCTCACTTACGTGCAAATTAAACACAAAGTTCACCAAACTCCAAGTTGATAAAGCCCCAGGAAAATAGGCACTTGCGTGTGCCACTGGACCAGTGTTCTCGGAATTGGTCTCGGATGGCCACATTGTATCAGAAACACCTTTAAAATGTTTATAGCCTCCTGGCACACTTCCACTTGCAGGAATTGGTTCTGAGGAAATAAAGAGGCACAGAAAAATGTAGCTTCTTACTGGGACTAGTGCTATTCAACTTTGTTCCAGGCAGCAAAAAGCTGGAAACAATGTAAATATTCAGTAACAGGTAACCTGCATAGAAAACTTAAGGAGGGAAAGCAACTGTTATAGAAAATGGTTACTTCTCAGAAAAATAAATGAGCTGTAGTCGGCACACCCAGAGCCATGCCCACTCCACGCCCCCCCCTTTCCATTCCAGATTCTGTCCTTTCCTTCCGGCCCCGCCCCAGCCCACACCTGCCTGCCTTCACTAGGTCTGGCACCAGGTCTGCCCACACACTTTACAGGATGAGTCTGAGCCCACACTCTCTCCTTGGGGCTGCACTGGTGGCCTCCTACTCTATCTCTGGTACCTTGGGCACCTCTCCTGCAGCACGAGCACCTCACACTGTGCACCAACACCGCAAGCCCTGGAGGGCAGGGAGAGTCTACCTGTCTCTTCCCTGAACTTGAACATCCAGCATACACCACCCTCAGGGGGTTCCTCTAACTGTCCCCAAGTGGAACAAAGAACTCGGTAAACCTGGGCATCGTTCTCCTCCAGCGACCACTAAGCATCTCTGACCTTACAGCTCTACATGCCATGGCGCTTGCACTTCCGGCTCTGCTCATCCTCCGAACTCAGCCAAGAATCAAGACTAGACTGATTATTCTGCTGCATTCCTGCTGAATCTACCAGGCAAAACCCCAAATGCGGATCGATGTCTCTCTGCCCAGCTTTTCTGCTCTTCCACCACAACCCTGGGCATGGCTAAGCAAAACAGCCCCTCAGTGCAGATGAAGACAGGAGTCTGTAGTGGGGCCAATGCCCCCCCGCCCCGGGCCAGCACTACCCCGGATCCTGCTCTCGCTTCTGCAGCCTGGCAGGGTCCCCCTCTTCCCCAAGGGGCTACCTGAGGCGCCATGACTGCCATTCCCAGCAGAGCTCCCGCACCTATTCCACAGAACTCAGGTCCTCTCGTGGGCCCTCCCTCTCCCTCCCCTCCAGCCTCCTCCCAGTCACACCCATGCTCCCCTCCTTTCGCCAGCCCTGGGCCTCCAGGACTTCCTTCCCCCTGTTCCTGGCCCGCTCCGCATCTGGTCTCTGTTTCCAGGCACCCCACCGCCCTTCCACGCCCCACCCCCGGCTCCGCTCTCTCTCTACCGGCTCTCCGTCCTCGCTTCCTTCGCCTTGGCCTCCACCGAGCTCTTCCCCTCCGCTCCCTTCCCTCCCTCCTGCGGAAGCCCGCTCTCACCGCCTTCCTCCCCTGCCCGCCTACTCGGTCCGCAACCCGGTGACGACCCGCGCGGACCCCGCCCCGCCGGAGGAGCGCGCAGCGGGAGGCACACTCAGCACCTCCCACCCCGAGTCCAGGGACACGTTTTCGGCTCCCGCAGGGGCCCCGCGGCTGCATCTGTCCCCCTTCTTCCTGCGACTCCAGCCCGCTGACCCTCGCCCTCCCGGTCTCCCTCCTCCTGCGGGCTCATCCGCTCGGTCCTCCGGGCGCTCGTCCCGACTTGGACGCTGGAGACCCCTGCCCCGAATCCCCAGGCCACCCCAGAGGCTGCGACCTCGCGTCAGGCCGGCCCACTCCCCCGCCGCAGGCTCCCCCGCCTCAGGCTCGCCCCCGCGCGCACCGCCCTCCCCCGCCGGCCGCCCCCCAAGCCCCGGAGTCCCCGGCTCGCCCCTCTGCTGGGCAGGTGCGGGACGGCATGCGGGCTGGGGGGCGCCGCGGGGGCGCGGCGGGGCTCCTCCTCCGAGCCCCTCGGGTCACTCACCGATGAGGACGGCGCTGTCCAGGGCCCGGAGCTGGGCCAGCAGCTGCCCCCGCGCCGCGAAGATGGGCAGGCTCCGGCGCTGCCGCTCCACCGCCTCGGGGTAGACGCCGGCCGCGGGCTGCGCCAGCGCTGGCTGCGGCCTCCGGCGCCCGCCGCCGCCGCCCGCGGTCAGCAGCATCAGCACGCGCCCCCCGGGGGGCCCGCAGCCCTGCCGGAACCTCTTGGCCGGCGGGAAGCCCGCCTCCTCCGGCATGTCGAGCGGGCGCCGCGACTGGAGGCCTGCCCCCGCGGCGCGCAGCAAGCGCGAGCGCCCCTTCCTGCCCGGCGCCGCGGCGCGCACCGATGACCTCACGGCCGCCATCGCCGGCCTCCGCTAAAGACTACGACCCCCGGCATGCACTGGGGGCCTGCGGCGGCGAGCGCGAGGCGGGGCCAGAGGAGGCTTGGCCCCAGGTGCGTCAGAGGGAGGTCGGGAGCAAGCGCGGCGCGGGCGGGAGCGGGCGCCGAGGGGATGCCCCGGGGTCTACCCTAACCCGCGATGTGCGGGGCGGCCGGGGTCGGGTCCGTCTGCGCGGGGTTCGGAAGCCGGTTCCGGCCGAGCGGCTGCTGCTGCTGCTGGGACAGTTACCGGCCGGTGAGCCCCGTCGGGACGCCCCGCGGCCGGTGTGGCCGTAGGCCTGGGGCCGGTTGCCCGCGTGTGTCTCGGGGGTTTAGGGATAAAGGAAGTTCCCAAAGGAGTTTTTACACGTTCAAGTGCTTCAGATTCCGGGGCTGGGCTGGGGTTGCCCCGTGTCCTTAGCAAGGTGTCAGCCCCTGAGCCCCTGAGGGACGGTCACTCTGCTCCGAGGACTCCTGCAGGTGCTGAGGAAGTCCGGCGATTCTCTTCTGCCTTTGCTTCCCGCGTCACCTGACCCTCCGTGCCCGCGTGTGCTGCATCCCAACCCCAGCCTCGAGGACCAGCCTCTGACGCCCGGAAAGTCACGAGCCGGCTCTACATCCCAGAGCCCTCCAAGGGTGCTGGCGATCCCCTGCTGTCAGGGCAGGGGACGGTCTTGTAGCATGTGCTGCTGACAACCCAGTGTTCCCAGGACGGGGGTCTGTGTGACAGCAGGGATAGGGGTGCAGTGGCTGGCGGTGACTGTGGTTCTTGCTCCCCCCCTCCAGCTCCTTCCCTGCTCCCTCCCAGCTCCCTCCTTCCCGAACTCCTTTCCCAGCACCTTCCTTCTCCCCCAGGCAGAACTCTTCAGTGAGGACGCCTGGCCCATGGCACACCCCCTATCAATGAAAAGACTCAAAACTTCAGCAGGGAAGACAGGATGAAACCAGCAGATCATCTCCTTCCAAAGCTCTCAGCAGCTGGTTCGTGGCAGAAACAGTGGCAGGAAATACTTCCAGAGAATTCTTGGCGAGCTTCGATCCCAGGATGCTTCAGCCTCCTGAAGAACTTTAGACATCCTCTGGAGTCCAGCTCGAGGAAACACATCCTATATGTAAACCTGTTAAAAATCCTTCTCCTTTCCTCCAGGAAGGAGATGATTTTCCTCTAGTTGCTGACAGTGTCATGATCAAGGATGGTTGAGAATGTGCGTGCTGAGTTCACAGCACACGCGTGTTCAGAATAAACTGAGAAAATGCCACTTCCTACCCAGAAATATTAACTTAGAAAGGCAGCTCACCCACAAAACAAAACAAAACAAAACAAACAAAAAAGAAAAAAAGAGGCAGCCCCAGACTGCCAAAACTGAAAGGGAAGGAACTGGTCTGTTCAGGTGGTGGTAACAAAACCACCGCAGGCTGAGGGGCAGCTGCTGCTCACAACCCAGGAAGCCGGGAAGCACCAGCGTGGCTGCCCTGTGGCTCGTGTGGCTCATGGCCACTGCCCGCTGCCCTGTCCTCACCGCAAGGCGGGGACCAGGAGATTTCTCTGCAGCGGTTTGATAAGGCGTCCATCTGGGCGTGAGGGCCGCTCCTGAAGGACTTCAGCCCCTCCCCAAGGCCCCACCTCCGAATACCATCACATCAACATAGGAGTTTTCACATCATGGCAATATGTAAATGTTTACTCTCAGATTATGGACCTTGTGTCTAACAGACCCACATCCATGCTTTTTCCTGGGCGCTTTCCAGACTAACCCCCCGGAGGGAGACACATGTATGTGCCCACCGATGGCAAGAGTCTGGGAGGGAATGTGAACGAGGAAAATAGCTTCTGGAGGAGCCCATGGCCCATCTCTAGAAGCAGCTGTGAGCCTGTTACTTTTAAGCAGTAGCCGCCAGGCAGGTCCGGGCTTGCCATATCTTCCCAGTTTTTCAAGAAAAGCCCCAAATGAAGATTTTTTTCTAAGATTCTATTTATTTGACAGAGATCACAAGTAGGCAGAGAGGCAGGCAGAGAGAGAGAGGAGGAAGCAGGCTCCCTGCCAGGCAGAGAGCCTGATGTGGGGCTCGATCCCAGGGCCCTGGGATCATGACCTGAGCCGAAGGCAGAGTCTTTAACCCACTGAGCCACCCAGGCGTCCCCCAAATGAAGATTTTCATGTGAAATCTGTCCGTTGTAAATGTTGGTCCCAATTTTAACAATGGTGCAGGCAAAGTGAACCGCTGTGCTGGGCCCTCGTGGCCCGTGGAGGGGAGCACTGAAGCCTAAACTCCTGGGCAGGCACTAGCCAGTCTTGTGCACGTGGCCCACCCCCATGGGAGGTCTGGAGGCAGTCTCCAGCGGGGAAGCAGCTTCTGCACACGCAGCCCATCCTAAGATAACTACTCAAAGAACGTTAGGGCCCTTCTTCCAAGAGGGGACTCGTCAGACGCGGCTCATCTCTAGCTGCCCTGGGATGCTCGCTGTGCCACGTGCTCTTCCCAGGAGCCCGTGGCCGCGGAAGTGCGCACACGCACTTGGGCCCCACCCCGCTTTCAGACGCCGCCGAGCCTCAAGTGCGACGCACGTTAGCCCCCATAGAATTAGGAACACCGGATAATAGTCTGCCGGCAGGTAAACGAAGTGTCTGTTCAGCACCTGTGTGCGTGGGGGGGATGTGGACCTGCCCTCCTGGGGCGCACATTCTCTCAAGGGAAACGAGACTCATCCGTGGACCAGCCAGGAACGGAGCAAGACCATTAGTCATTCGGTGTGAGGGCCCGCCGCAGACTTGGAAGCTCAACAGGGATCCAAAGAAAGACGGGGAAGGAGGCCTCAGAGTTGGGAGTTCCTCAGGGCCAGGAACGGGCCAGGCTAGGAAGAGAGCTCGGTCCCTGCTAGGGACAAGCGGGGCACGTTGGATTTGGAAGCTAAGACGTCACCGCAGACTTCGGAGCAGAGTCGGGGCTTGGTTTGCATCAAGTTCAATGATGTTAATGCACTCAGGAAATGACACGAGCAGCTTTGGGGACGGTCCCACAGCATGGAGAACCCTGCCATGTCACCACCAGAGCACTCACCTGCCCAAGCCCGGCTGTCGGGGAGACGGGACAGGTCCGGGGGCCCCTCACCCAACGGCTCGGTGTCTCCTGGTTTCCACCGGCCCCAGATGGAGCGGGGGCTCCGCCGCCACAACCCAGGGCTTGGTGCTCTGCTCTGTACATGGAGAGACCACACAGGAGGTGGGAAAGCCAGCGGGACCCACAGGAGGGACAGAAGAAAGGACAGATGGAAGAGAGACGTGAATGGAAATACCTAATTTAGAAAACACACCAAAAACGTGTAGAAATCCTGTCTCTTAGGGAGATGCGAGGTACATGCCCATTGCTTCCTCAGGAACGTCTGCAGGATTTCTCCAACCACAAACCCTGCCTCCGTGAGGTGTGCTGTCGGTATTACCGGTAGAACCCAGCTCTATGTGGGGGAGACTGGGCACAAAATCCCGTCTACCAATTTTCACCGCAGGACGAAACAGCCCAGTTCTGTAAGAGTCGGGGTGGAGAGGTGGGGTGGGGAAGGGGCCTCTTCATTGTGGCAGGGGGCTCACTCCACGGGTGGGGAGATTGGCAGTCAGTGCCCACACTGCCCAGGACATGGAAGGTGATCCTTAGAATTCTCATTCTGTAACCACCGAGCACTCTTAGGCCACAAATGCTGAATCGGTTTCCTGTTTTACCGTCATCCATATGGACGGACGTCCCCTATTTAAAACCAGAGAAACCTATTTCTAGACTCTAAATAATTTAAAAAACCCTCCTAACTATTACATCAAAAATTAAGGATGTACTGTATGTTGGCTAATTGAACTTAATAAAAATTTTTAAAAAATAACAAAACAACAAACCCTTCTAATTCAAGCTTCCTTGAACAGAGACAAGATGACAAAATTATAGAATTCTGTAAGGATTGTACATTCTCAGGTTGCATTTCAAGTGTTTTTTTTTTTTTTTTTTTTGCCATTGCTTAGAAAAAAAGCTGTCCCATTAACAACCCCGTTGCATAAAGTTACAACACCCGTGTTCCAAGTTTCTGACCGGCGGCAGGTCCAACATTGGTCTGTTTCTGTCAGTCACGCACAAGCGGCGGGAAGACGTACGTTCATGTTTACTTCCCCCTTCACTGCACCCCCTGAAGGTCCCCACTTACTCTGAACCGTGTTCAGCTCTCGGAGGGGGATCTCACTCTGGAAAGGAGCTCCCACTTGCCCATGGTGCGACTGCTGGGGAAGCGGTCCACAGCTCCGCCCCGCTCGCGAGAACCACCCGCAGCCGTCCCTCCCCTATAGGGATCCACTTTGGGCTGTGGATCCCATTAGTGACTAGACCCCGTGAGCGCAAACCTGCCGGGGGCCCAGGGGAATCAGTATTCCGGACAGGTCTTTGTGGAGTCACAGACATCGGCTGTCCTTTCCTTGGGACCCTAACGTCTACCTGATGGGAAGGTAAACTGGGTGCTTGGCTCGGAAATGCTTGTGGGCTCTTCCTTAAGCAAAATGACCCACGTGCAACCAGCCCAGGACCCACGGACTCCTGCCTAACAGGGGCCTGCTCATCTGGCCCCCAAGTGAACACCCCAGGTCTAAAATCGATCTCTTTGTGGTCTTCCAAAAGGGTGGCCATGACGTGGCTTCTCCTGCAGAGCTCTTAATGCAGAAGCGGAGTGGAGTTGCTAGGATGTCACGGGTGCCCTGAGCCAGCCCTCCTCAGTGGAGTTCCTGCCGATGTGAGAACCACCCTACCCACTGTTTTCCCTCATCCGACAACCTGTAGTTTTGCAAAACCAAGACGGAAAGCAAGCTATGCAGATACCACCGGCCTGTCTTCCTCCCGCTGGAGCTGGCCTGCTGCGTGAGTCTC